TCCCCTTGGCCTTACACAGGCCTTCACCTCCAGGAGCTCTACCCTTTCTCTTGGGCTGGCCTGGGCAGAATGACTACCTGACTGTCAAAGAGAAAGGAGGACAGTCTAGGGTTGCCAGACTTCAGGGGGATCCCTTGCTCTTTCCTTTACCCAAGATTCCCTGGGCAGGCCCCCATTCCTCAGGGGGGTGGGGCCCCTGGTTTCCCACACTCTCTCACCCTCCCCCAGGTCATGGGGGTGCTGTGATGTGTGGGGTTGCCAGGGCAATGAAGCGGGGGCAGGGCACCTAGGGCATGGAGCAGGACTATGGAAGTCACCAAGAAAGTGGGGGGCCCTGATCCATCGGGCCACCAGGGCCACCCCTCAGTTGGCAGCCAGCAGCTGGGGGGTGGCGTCAGAGGGTCCCAGGGACCATGGATAAACTCAGGATCCGCATCCTCGAGGCACGGGGTGCCATTGTCCACCGAGGCCAACTCTGATGGGGCCTATGGCTCAGCCTCCCAGGCCCACACCCATGAGCCCTGTCACCAGCACCTCCGGGAGCCTACGGAGGTTACCTCCCAATGTGGCTATGAGCGGGCCTCCCAGGACACCCTGAGACTCCCCTCCTCTAGCTCATTCCCAGGATCTTTCATGGGAGCCCAAATACATCTCGTCACGGAGAATAGGACCCCGGCCCCACGGGTGTACACGCGCGGTGATGCCACCAGTGACACGGCTCAGCACGGACTCTACTGTTCCCAGCTTCAGGTGCAGGGGGTGGGGGAGGGCAAGGCTCCAGCTAAAGTCCTTGTAGGCTGGGGCAAAGGCCCCTGCAACCCGGAGCAGACTGCCCCAGCGGGCATTAGGAAGAGCCGATGGCTACCGTATAGCCCTTCAGGAAAGGATGGCTCACCTGCAGCCCAAGGTCCTTTTCTGCCTCCAGGTCAGGATCAGGGCCAGGGCAAGGGCCCAGGTCCGGTTCAGGCTCCTCCAACTCCAACTCCAACTCGGGCCAGTACTCCAGGTCTGGATCCGATCTCAATGGCAGGAGCAGAATCTTACCCCTGCAACCCAGACCACCTGACGGATACCAATGCCACCACAAAGGGCCTGTCCCAAGACCTCTTGCCTGGGAAATATGGCAACCAGTGGCCAGTCCAGTTGGATTCTTCCAAAGGGGTCACATCCTGCCAGGACAAACTGAATTTCCATCCTCAGGAAGAGCCTCCCACCCCAGCACCCATCCTAAACAAATCCCCAGACCAGACCCAGGCATGTGAAGTTACCCAAAGGCCAGTGTTACCCAGGCATCCCAAGAACCAAGTGGAGAAGCCCCTGGTCAGTATCTCTAGCCCAGGCAGCCCCAAACCAGGGCCCCCAGGAACCCCCAAGAGCCAGAGGGACAGCCAGGAGATCCGCAGCGCTCCGCAAAGTCAGCAGCCCCTCAATGTTTGCAACAACCCCTGCTCCAGTGAGCTGCCGTCTGCCTACCAATTAAGCAGCCACAACCCAGCCCCAGTTCCTCCCAGGGAAGCCATGCAGATACGTGCCTCCAGTGCCCCTACCTGCCAGTTCCAGGATGCTGTGGAAGACCGTGTGCTGGTGTTTGACATGGCCACGGGCAATACCAGGATGGGGCTGCTGTGTCATGACCCCATGGGCTCCCGGGCAGTGCTGGTGGGCCTCATGCCCAGCCACCCACCCATTTATGCCTCTGAAAGCATGCAACCCACCCACCCGCTGCCCACGCCCATCATCACCCCTGACAGCGATCGTTCCAGCTTCTGGTCCACCACGGCCATGGTGTCCAGCCCCGTGCCCTCCAGCCTTTCATCAGGAAGCTACCGAGAGGTGGCCCTGGTTCCCAAAGAGGCCAGGGTCCACCTAGAATCACAAGGCTCCCCTGGTGCTGAGACACCCATGAGGATGGGGATGCTCAGTGGGCCCGTTCTACTGGGGACACCACTCCAATTTGGAGAGAGGATCCTCAGCCATGCCCATGATCCTGACTGGTCCAAACCTGATGCTGAAAAAAACCAAGGGAGTCGCACTATCTGGATGCCGGATGCCCCTGGGATTCAGGATACCTCTCTGGGCCAGACCAAGAAACAACAGTGGATGAGCTCAGAGCAGACTGCAGAGACGGTACCACCAGCCAAAAACCAGGAGGTGCTCAGACCCCCACTCCACGAAGATATAGGCAACCACAATCAGAAAGGGAGCTATCACCCTGATAGCCCTTTGGTCAAACGTGCTGGGCAGGCCCCCCTCGGCAGTCAGCCCCCGCTAGCTGAGCAGGCCCCCTCCACCAAGCAGCCCCCACTTCCTGCTCAACTGCCTCTCACTGGAACCCCTATTTCCAGGCAGCCTCCCTTTTCCCAAGAACCCCTCATCTCCAATGAGCCCACCCTCTCAAGGGGTGCCCTGACCGCTAGGGAGCCTGGTCAGGCTTCCACCCTGGGCCAAGAAGGTGAGCCACTGGGCCATGCGGAGGTACGCCAGATGCCCCCTGAGGAGACCTGCATCTATGTAAACAGAGAAAAGGTTGGTGCCAGTGCTGCTCAAAGCTCCAGCTTACATCGGCTCTTGTCCTGGCAGCATGGCAGCTCCCCCAAGGTGCAGGAGAAGCAACTTTCCCTGATCGCGATCACTGCACCCGGCCCTGGTTGCAAGGTCTTGCCCATGGTCACAGCGGGCACTCAGCTCCAGGGTCCCCAATTCAAGCTGACAACCGAGGACACGACCCACTCGTCGGTGGTCGCACACCTTGGCCTGCTCCGCGGGGCCTGCTATGAGCTGGTGCCCACCATGGATGCTCTGGCCGTACGGTCCCCGGTGCTCTGCCGCCACTCACTGGGCCCCTACCAGGACATGGCTGCTGTGGTGATCGACACAGGCACAGGCTTCACCAAATGCGGGCTGGCTGGGGAGGACCACGTCCTCAGCGTGCTGCCTTCACGCGTGCAGCTGCTGCAGCACCCAGTCCAGGGCCAGCCCAGGTACACGGTGCCCGAGAAGCAAGAGCCGTCCTACTCGGTGCTGAATCGAGGCGTGGTCTCTGACTGGGATGCCCTGGAGGTGCTGTGGCAGCACCTATTCTACTGCAGGCTGGGCGTGCAGCCCGAGGAGCTGGCTGTGCTTGTGGCCGACTCACCCATCTCCCCGCGCACCAACCGAGAAAAGGTGGCTGAAATACTCTTCGAGCGTTTCCACGTGCCAGCCATGCAGACAGTGCACCAGGCCCTGCTGGCACTCTATGCTTACGGGCGCACCACTGGGCTGGTGCTGGGCAGTGGCCACGGCACATCCTACGTGGCGCCCATTGTCACTGGGGATCTGGCCCCCCTTGACACCTACCGGCTGGACGTGGCGGGTTGCGACCTCACGGAACACCTGGCTCAGCTGTTGCTGGCGGGTGGCCAATCACCGCTCAAGGCAGAGCTGGTCAACCAGATTAAAGAGACCTGTTGCTACGTGGCCATGGACATGACGGCCGAGCTAGCCTGCATGCAGTCCCAGACCCGGGTGGACTTCGTGCTTCCCGACAAGCAGGTCATCACGCTGGGTTCTGAGCGCTTCCGCTGCCCGGAGGCTCTCTTCCAACCCAATCTGCTGGGCGTCAATCAGCCGGGCCTTCCACAACTAGCCCTCCTCAGTATCAGCCGGCTGGAGGCCAAGCAGCAGGAGCAGCTGCTGGCCAATGTGGTGCTGGACGGTGGCAGCACCCTGTTGAGTGGCTTTCCCGAGCGCCTGAGACAGGAGCTGGGCCCCAGCGCCACCGTGCTGGGCTCTCCGCACCGGGCCGTTGCTGCTTGGCTCGGAGGCTCCATCATGGCCTCTCGGAACTCCTTCCAGAGCCTGTGGCTCAGCCGCCGTGAGTATGACGAGGAGGGCCCATGGGCCATTTACAAGTACCATCTATGAGCACATAAAAGTTCTGTTTCTGCTTGCTTTGACTACCATGGTGTATTTTAGGCACAGGGTGGTGGAGAGAGGGCAGGGGTTGCAGGTGTGGGGTCAGGGATGGGGGCCTTGGCACTCCCAAGGTACACCCTCCTCTACACACCGGAATTCCGTGGGCCTTGGCAATTCTGTCCTTTCCAGGGAAGCCCAGAGCCCCTTGGCTGACGTTGGCCCTGGGCTAGCCTGACCTTTACTGTACCCCAAGGGCAACCAGAGAGAGTGGCTGCTGTGGGTTTTGCCCTGTTGCCCTGGTGACAAGCTCAATTACCCTTGATTGCCAGCTAGTTGCCATGGCAATTTCAAACATAATGAAATAACCCACACAGCCTGGAGTGAGTCACGAAGGGGGGAGCCCCCTCCCCAAGCTCCAGAGGAAAAGACTGCTTGCTTTCCCTCATGTTGGGTCCTCCATGGGGGCTGAGGCCAGCAACATCGACAACAGTCAAACAGTTCCACCAATGGCTGGGGGGCCTAGAGCTTTGTTGCTCCATGGGAGGGTCTGTGTCAGAATCTGGGCTTCTTCGGGGAGCTGACCTGAAAGTGCAGATTCCCTCTGAAGTCTAAACCACGGCTGGAGCTCTGTGCTAGGCAGGGGCTTCTGTCAGCCAGTCAGAATATGAAGGAGTAGGAGTGCTGGCCTTTGATGCCGTGGGGCAGGAAATCGGGGTATGGGGCTTATAAGTGTTGGGTCCTGGATGGGAGATACAAGCTGAGCTGGAGGATGAGGCTGCTTTGTAGCCTCTGTGGATATGGAGACTCCCACCTTATCCTGCCTCTCTGGTGGGAGCCAGAACTGTCAACTGTGGGGTCCCTTTGCTTCCTCTGTCTCCCAACCCGGGCCAACCCTGCCCACAGGGTGAGTAGGATACAGATCTCATTAGGAGATCCTAATAGAGGCTATGGGGTAATGCCAATGCCAACTGCCCTATTTTAGTCCCAAACTTCACCATGTGTTAAAGGGCCTCCCATTGGTCAGGGGGTGGCTAGAGTCCATGGCCCCTGACTTGTCTAGCTCTGAAGAGCTAGGGTAGGAACAAAGGTCTGTGTCTTCCACGGCCGGGAAGAGGTGAGAGGAGGCACTCAGCTGTGTCGATACTTCCTGTCTGGAGGGCAGCCCTGCCTGTGTCCCTCTGGCTGAGCACTGAGGGACAAGCCATGCCCCTGTCGCAACCCTGGGTTCTCATGTTTGGGGTGCCCTCTCCACAAAGGACAGAGACCTGGCTATCCTCACACATACCTGAGAGTGAGGGACGGCCCTTTGTGGACAGACTACAAATGGCCAATGATATAGGGTCATCACAGCCCACCCCACCCCGGGGCACGGTTTGCCCTCTTCCTGAGTCCAGTTATCACACCCTGAGTTGGACTCCCCAATCCTAAGGCCTGTGTCAGGCAGGAAGGGGACCAGGATTAGCTAGCTACAGCGTCCATGTGCACATGCATGCAAGCATGCCTGGGTGCACACAGAATGCAAACACGTGCCCCTGGGCACCACTGCACACACTGTGCTGTTGCCGTCTCCTTTGGCATAAGAGCACACACTCACAGACATCATCACACGTGTGCACATACACCCTGCCACGTGCTCACCCACAGGCACATGGAGTATGCACGGGACCCAGAAGAGGTGGAGCACTGCCAGCAGCAGGCAGGACTATAGCGAGCCACTTATTCCCCTGCCTCGAAATCCCCCACATTGGAGCTTCTCCTTGGCCTCACGTCTCCACCATGATCTTCAGGAAAGGCAGAAAATGTGTGTGATGTGTGGGGTCGGCAAGCCATGGATCAGATGCACCATACATCTCAGAGAACTGTTTCAATGACAGTGGGCAGACAGCGGGAAGAACTAAGTGCTAGGCCATTCAATCATTCATTCATTCTGCAGACATGAACTGAGCACCCGGAGACAGGACACAGGCTCTGGCCTGTGCCCAGCTCACCAGGAGAGTCCTCACCAGTAGTGGAGTCAGTGTGGTAACTGAGACCACCCAGAGCCCAGGGAGCCAAGAGGCTGTGACCAAGCCAGGGAAGGATGTGAAAGGCTCCTCATCACCCCCTGAGGAGAAAGATACTGACAGGTCCTGTTTAAATAGTCATGTCCCAGGCTAGACTTCCAGCCCCAGCCCCAGCTTCAACTTCCTGACTTGGACACCTGCAGCCACGGGAAACCATCCAGGAGAGACTCACTCATGGCCAAAGGTTTGGAGATGACCCCACCCAGGATGGGGTCAGAAGGGTTCGGGTGAGGTGGGGCCCAGCTCCAGGCAAGCCTAAATCTGGCCTTCAGACACTGGCCTTAAGGCTTGAGCAGGGGGTGGGGGGTGGCAAGGCAAGTATTTGGTCCACTTGTATCCACGACAAGGGACAGAGACATGGCCAAGGACTTCCTGCAGAGCCTCCCTCTGGCAGTTCTCAGCCAGGGGGCAGGTTCTCAGGTCAGGTCAGGTTCTCAGGTCAGGGGGCAGGTCTGCTGGGACTCCTGGGGGCTGTAAATTCTCTTGTATCCCCGTATCCTAGCCCAGGCCACTAGGGGTGATGCTGCTCAGGAAGTGCTCGAGGGCGATTAAACTGGAAAGAATGCAGAGTCTACACCTTATCATAGGTAACTTTCAGAGCTTGAGAAATTCAGAGGCACACTGGAAGGGGGCAGACTGGGCCATCCACCCTCGCTGGGACTTGGAGATGGGAAAGGCTCTGACTTGGCAGGAGGGGACGGAAGGGTGGGCAGAGAGACTGGCACCAAGGTCTGGGGCCCTCACTTGCATGCACACACACCCCCATGTGTGTACTAGCTAGGGGAGGCCAATCTATAGTGAAGCTTGCCCCAGCGACTGCCCAGTTGGTTCTTTTTAGTGCTGCTCTTTGAGTCAGGTTTTGGGAGCTGGTGGGTTCAGGTGGTAAAGAATCTGCCTGCATTTCGGGAGACCTGGGTTCGATCCCTGGGTTGGGAAGATCCCCTGGAGAAGGGAATGGCTACTCACTCCAGTATTCTGGCCTGGAGAATTCCATGGAGTCTATAGTCCATGGAGTCGCAAAGAGGCGGACACGACTCAGCGACTTTCACTCAGTTTGGGAGCTGGACAGAGCGCCAGTACCCTAGAAACCATGACCCGCCAAGACACTCCTGTGCAGTTCCAGGACTCAGGCTTTCTCCCCACACCTTCTACTCTGCCGCACCCTCTACAATGAGCATCATAAGGTACCTCCAGTCCCTGTTGCCCGGTCAGTCCGAGGGCCTAAGGGAACCTTCGAGAGCCTGGCCCGGGCTGCGCAGGCCAGTGCTCACCGTCTCTGCTGCCACCCCTCATCAGCCTTTCTTCGAGTGGGATTCCAGGCTCAGGCTTCTCCAGGGTGGGGGCGGAGCCGGCTGAGGGAGGCCCCGCCCCCAGCCCGCCCCCGGCCCGGGGTGCGAATCCGGTGCCGGCGAGCGGCGGGAGATGCTGGAGGTTCGCGAGCCGAAGTGGCTGCAGCTGGCGCCGCGTCTGCCCCGCGTGCCCGGAGCGGATTCTGCCCGCCGCCCCCGGAGCCCTCGGCGCCCCCACTGAAGCCGCGATCGCATCCTCCCTGTGACCGACCAGCGCTGCAGGTGCGGGGTGAGCCGGGAGGGGGTGGGCTCCCGGAACGCACGTTGCGAGGTCTTAGGGGATTGGGTCTCTGGTTCGAGGTTCTGGTAGCCGAGTGCGCGGGGGCGCTGCAAGGGCTTGGGGTCCTGGCGGGGGCAGAGTACGCGGGCTCTGCAGATCCAGGGCTGGGCGTGCGGGGTTGGGCTGAAGTTCCCCATCACCTCAGACGGCTCGGGGGTCCCAAGGGAAGCCTCTGAGACTCAAGTCCAGGCCAATCTCCCCTCCTCGTCCCCCATCCCACCCCTCCTCTCGCTGGGCTCCTAATTGTGAAAACGTTAACCTTCCAACACTGAGCTGCCCCAGGGGGTTAGGGGCGAAGGCTCAGCTGTCCCTCTGGACTCCCAGAGCCGCCTCCAGCCCCTCCCAACTGCCCCCGGACCCCCCTCCCTCCAGCTAAGCAGTCACTAATTTCCATGACAACGAGAGTTCTTTATGGGCGACAACCTGAAGGGGGCTGGGCGGGGCTGCCGCTCGGTGGGGGAGGAGGCTCAAGCCCCTGGGGACCAGCAGCCCCCTAGCCGAGATCCAGCTTCCAAGCCTTAACTCCGGGGCCTCCGCGGGGGTCCAGGGTACCGACCCAGCGCTGCGCGGTGGGGGTGGGGGACGCACATGTTTCTGCCGGGAGGTGCGGGGCTTGGTGCTCACACGTGTGCCGCCCGCATGTGTGTTGCTGTGCCAGCGGGGGCGAGTCAGCAGCACTGGGGAAGGGGGTCAGGGTGGCAGCACGGTTGGGGAGCAAGGCCCCCGGCTGGCAGGGTGAACAATGAGAGAGTGAGTCTGCCTTCCCCAGCCTGTAGCGTCTGGCAGAGACCCTAGGCTCTCCCAGCCCCCCATAGCTGTGCCAAACTGCTTTTGTCTGCACCCCCTAGGCAAAGCCTGCTTCACCAGGTTCCCTCCGAGGAAGCAGGGCTCTCTGTCCATCACCAAAAGCTCAGTCTGCAGCAGTCCAGCTACTGGCCAGCCACCCTCCTCCAAGGGTGGCTTTGAGCCCCCCAAGGACCACCTGCAGGGACCTGGTGTCCTCCCTGTCCCCCACCCCCAGTCAATCCCTGTCAGCTTTAGGCACCTGCTGGGCCCGATTTTCCTCAACTGAGAAATTGGTGTCTCTGCTCCCCTCTGTGTCAGGCTGGGCCCTGGGCTGGAGCAGAGGTCTCTCTCCCTTTCATTTACAGCATTTGGTAGGGATCCTCCTCCCGAATCAGCTGCCTCTTCCCATATCAGCTGCTGGCCCTCCTCTCCCATCCTTGTCCTGGCAGGTGGACAGTCCTTGCCCTGGGAGAAGGCCACAGAGTCTGTGATCTCCATCCAGGGAAACTGAGGCAGAGTCGGTGAAGGGGGGGAGGATGCTGTGCAGTTGTTATCCTGTTTCTAGACTGCTTGGGGTGCTGTTTCTGACCTTCAGACAAAACCCACTGTTGGGGAGGGGGGCGGCGGTGGCAGGGAATGAGGCTGAGCCGCCAGAGAGGCCCTGGGGACCCAAGGCCTCTAGGGAAGAGCAGATGGGGGTGGGGGTGGCTGGGGAGTCCAGGCAGAGCTGGGTCAGCTGACAGGAGGGGCTGCAAAGGGAAGCAGCCAGGTCTCCAAGCTTCATTTCCATCCCCCACGCCTGTGCCTTCGACATGTTGGACCTGCCTTACCTAAGCTGCCTTGGTGACGGGGAGAGGGGCTGAGGAACTGTTGTGACAGAGGGGACCACAACAGATGGCCTCTTCCCTCACCAAGTTCAGTGCTTGTCTAGGGGGATACAGGAGGGGTCAGTCTCAAAGGTCCAGGCATCAGGGGCAGCTCCTGGCCCAGGTGTGCAGAGCACATGGTCATGGAGACCTTAGGGCTCTGCTGGACATCCGTAGGCCCCTTCAAAACCCCTATCCCACCTTTTCTCCTGTGTCCTTGTGCCTGCATCCTTTTTACTATATGAATTCTTTACACTCCCCCCCCCCCACCCCGGCCCCGACTTCCACCGCAGGTTGTGCCTTTGTCTCTCTGTGGCCCTGCCCCTCTCCTAAAGTCTCCCCGTTCTTCCCTGATGGAGACCAGGGTCACAGAACCCATAGGGAAGGAATCAGGGCAAAAGTCTCAGGGAATTCTTGGAGAAGGGGTTTGAATAACACCTCTCCTTACCCCTCCCCTGGTTTAAAAACTTCCATCACCATAGCAACCCTTTACTCCCAGGGCCTTCTCTGCATTTCCGCTCCTTCACTCAAAGGGCAGCAGGGCCCCCAGTGGGTTTTCCTTCAGGGGCTCAAAGCTTGGAACCCAGGTGCCTGGAAGGGGTCAGCTGGCTCTTGGCTCAGGCTGCATGTTTGAAGGCTGAACTTTCTGGAGACAGCACTGGATTATATGCCCACCCCAAGACTGGAGAGCATTCCCCCCAACCCTGCATGCACTCTCATTAGATGGGAGATAGTCAGCAGCCAGAACTAGTGACCAAGGCCCAGCCCGGTCAGGCCCCTGCCCAATTACCTAAAGCAGCTGGATGGTGGACGAGAAACTTGACTCTGCCTTCTGACGCAGACCTGAGAGCGAGGTCTCTATTTCTGCCCGTCCTGTGGATGAAATCTCTGCCTCACACTGGGCAGAGCTCGGACCAAGGCATGTCGATTACAGCAGGAAACCCAGCTCTGGTCCCTGAAAGTAGAGAGCAGGGAAGGGGAGGGGGTGCCTGCAGGCTGGTGTTCACAGCTGCCACTAAATCTGGAGGTGTTGCCCACAGTTGTTGGGAGGCTGCTGGAGGCCTCCTGGGCCCCTCCTGGCCTCCCTAGATTTACTGCAAGATCTGGAGCCCCACATGGCAGAGGACCAGGGTGGCAGGAAACTCCTGTTTATGGCTATGAGAGGTGGGGCTGGAACCAGGCTGACCCCAGTGGAGGAGGGGCCAGGACCCTGTGGGACCCCTGGACCTTTGGAGGGGCCTCTGTCCCGTTCAGGCTTCCGCTGGGCCAGACTTGCCTTAGGCTGCCATAGGGCCGCTTGGGACCCTTTATTACCAAGGCACCCATAGGCTGAGGCTCCATCAGCGTTGCCGGGGGGGGGGGGGGGGGGGGGGGGGTGGTGTCAGACCTGAGTAGCTAGGGAATGTTTGGCCCTCAGGCTCCTTCAGACGCTCCCCAGGCTCTGCATTTCCCCCAAGCTCCCTTGGGACCACCCCCTGTGCACACCAGTCAGTTTCTCTGCAGAGAATGGAAGGAAGCGTGTCTCTAGGGAAATGGCTATGATGGGACTTCTGTGCCCTCCCTTGTCCCAGTGTGGAGTTGAGGTCCAGCCAGGGTCCCATGTCACTGGGAGGGAGCTCTGTGCTATTGGATGTTGACTCTGGGCTAGCCAGGCCTTGGCAGTGAGGGTGGTGAAAAATGCACCCTTTCTTTCTGCCTGGCCTTCTACTGTTCTTGACGATGTCTCAGCTGCTCCTCTCAGCTTTGGGGCCAGGGCTGCCCTTGTTGCAAGCAGGTGCCTGGGGCTTGGTACACACACCGGCAGCCTCCTAGGCAGCAGAAGTGGGTAGCAGATGGGAGAGTGGGTGGGGGTGGAAGGGACCAAGATGCTAATCGGAAGCAGGGCCCCTCTTTCTCCTCTCTTTGCCCTGGGGCCAGGTTGGGGGTGGAGGCAAGTAAGTGCAGTTAGATGGGTGAAGGGAGGTAGTGACTGGTTGAGATCAGGGCAGCCATGGGAGCCAGGGAGGCAGGTGCACGTCCCGCCACGAGGCTTCAGGACATGGCTCCAGGTTGATGTGACTGAGCAGAGGTCCCCATGGTGGAGACAGAGCCCCAAGATTGGCCCTGGGTCCCTGCAGGTCTAAGTGCATATGCACGACCAGAAGCAGGGCCAAGATCAGGGACAGGCATGTACAAAACCTCCCATGCCGCGGGGCTGAGTAGGGAGCTATTGGCATGGGGTTGGGGGGAGGTGGAGATGGTGGAAATTATCTCAGCACAGGGCTGTGTTGAACCTGGAACCTCAGGATGGTCGCCAGCAATCTGTGGCACAAATAACCTTAGAATGTCGGGAATCACAAGGAAAGAAGAGATTTAGCCCTGGTCTCAGCACCCAGCTCACGTGGAGGCTGCTCCATAGGGAGGCCAGGATGGGTAGTGCCCCTGCCAGTGCCCACATTTCCTCCACTGAGTGGACGTGGTTGAGCTGGCCAGTCACCTGTTGTTGGTTGTTTAGGTAGTTGCTGATTTTTTGAATGTTATAAATAACTCTGCCGTGACAAATAGGATACTGATGGGAGGCTTGGGGGGAAGGGCATTCCTGCCAGAGGCAATGGTGTAAGCAGAGCAGCAGAGCTGAGCCATAGGTCCCTCCCAGCCCTCTGGGGGGACCTGCAGGTTGAGGTATCACCCTCCCACCCAGCAAAGGGCCCTTGGATTGCAGCCTGGAAAGGGAATCGCTGCACACCAGAGCCACTGGGGCAACTGATGCAAGCCCCCTCCCTCGGATTGTTAGGCCTTAGAGATGGGTGGCCGGCAGTGGTGGGTGGCCTCGCCTCTGCTCTCAGCTGTGAGAGTGGGATTCCAGCCACATGCTCCTTCCAGGCAGATGCAGGAGCCCGGCTGTGACCGCAGTGGCAAAGATCCGCAGTCGGGGACGATCTTCAAAGCTTCTCTTGTTTGCCTCTGCAGTACTTCACAAGATGGCTTAAGCCCTGGCTTGAATCACGCTGATGAAAAATGCGTTTGTGTTCCCTAAGCCCAAAGAACCTGGGTGAGGGAATGGTGGAATTTGTTCCCTAATGCGGAAGGCAAATTTGAGGGAGAATTTGCAGAACTGGGTGCCCTGGGAAGCAGGTAACCTTCTCCTGGTAGGAAGCAAGCGCCAGCCAGGGCCGGCCAAGGGGCTTATGTGGGTCCTGGCCTTTGACCCTAGCTGGCAGAGTCCCTCTGAGCAAGCTTCTTCCTCAGGTGGGAGCGTTCTCTCTCCTCCATACCCTGTGGCTGCTCTGTGAATCACTTCAGGCAGGGCACCTAGGTATTCAAGGCCCCAGCCCAGGCGCTTTGCACAGCAAGTGCTAATCAGGCTGGTGAGAGACCGTGCACAGTCAGAGAAGCAGAGCAGTTTGAATGCAGCCTTTTGTGTGAAGCGTGTTATCACCCCAGTGTCACACCAACCAGGCATTAAGGAGGCCAAATTTGAGTCAGATCTGGGAAGGTCCGGACTCTCTCTCCAGTTCCCCTCCTGAGGTTTACCTCTGAGCAAGGGCTGCGAAGGCCTTTTCCTATGGGTGTGGACCCCAGTCCACCCTGCATCCCAGGTGAGGATTGGGCTGGCAGGGTGGCAGATCCGTGGGGTGCCATGCTCCAGGTGCCAGAGTGCCTGGAACCTACTGCAGTCAGCTGTGCTCATCCTTCTGCCTGGAGTAGCCACCCGTGGCCAGAGGCCTCTCCCCTGGACCTGATGGCCAGGTCTCCTGTGGGCCCTGGCAGTGAGGCACAACGCAGGCTTGTCTTGCTTTTCCAGACCATTACCCCTGCACACCTGCTGGCAAATTCTTTCCCTCTAAGGCCCGACCTTAATGCTGCTTTTTCCTTAAAGCCTTTCCTCGCTTCTCTACCCAGATGGGGGTTCTCTCTCTGAGGAATCCCCCAAGCACTGTGCCTGAATGCAGTATTTATTAAATCAGTAAAAACAACCACAGTACAAATTCTAACAGAAAATTAATGAACAGTAGACATCATCGACTCAGTGGATGATGTTTGAGAGAGACAGTGAAGCACAGGGAAGCCTGGCATGCTGCAGTCCATGGGGTCACAAAGAGTCAGATACGACTGAGCGATTGAACAACAACAGAATAAATCTGCCCCTCTGACACCCAGTTCTTTCCCCCAAAGGAGACTCTTATTTTCTTCCAGAAAGGACTTTGAGTGTACACTGATCCATAAAGTTTAAAAAATTTACCCCAGTGTAGCACCCTTTACCCACTGTTCTGTCCCCTGCTTTTTCTCACACTATCCTACTGCAGCACATTTTGATCTATTTTATTCTTTTTAATAGCAATCAAGTATTCGGCAGTATGTATGGCCATAATTTTTATTCACATTTTTTCTTGTGAAATATAACAAAAATCTAGGAATGAACCCAATACGTGTATGTACATTTGTCCAAATTATTATAAAGCTCAGACCTGTGAAACCACTACTCAGGTTCATAAATAGGTCCTCCTGAATCCCCCCCAATCACAACCTCTTTTATTTCTCTTAGGAGGTCTCAAGGTGTTTACTTCCTGGTGTTGCTTTACAGTTTGACCAGTATGTCTGTATCCTTAAACAGTATAGATTAGTGATGCCTGTTGTGAACTCTGTATTTGCTGGTTTTTCACTCAACACTTGTATTGGTGAGATTGACCATGTGGTTGGGTAGAGCTGTAGTTCCCTCATTCCCCTCATTTCCATTGTTGTGTAATAATATTCCATTGTGTGATTCTCCCACAATACATCCGCTGCTGAAGGGTATGTGGGCTGTTTCCAGTTTGGGGCAATTCGGAATACTGCAGCCCCATGAGCACTCTTGTATGAGTGTCCTGCTGCACAAATGTATATGTTTCTGTAGGATGTATATTCAGCTGTGTAATTGCTGGTTATTAGGGAATGTTCGACTTCAATAGTTTCACCAAACTGTTTTGTACATGGGACACTTGCCCCCCACCAGCAGTGCTCATGTTCTTCGCATCTTTGCCAACGCCTGGCATCTTTAGACTTGCGAAGATGACTCTGATGGGTGGGCAGCTACAACTCCCTTCATCTGTGAAATCACTGAAATTGAAATCAATCATCTGATAAATCTCTTTTTGATTATACATAATGCGGAATGATTCTAGGATATGTCAGCTTAATATATTTTTCATAAGCAGGGGCTGCTGTAGCTTAGGCAGCCAAGCTGAGTGGCTGGAAGTATGGCCAAAAAGGCAGGGGTTGGATCCCATTCTGACCACCCTCTAGCCCTTTCTGGTGTAGATGTGGCCTCTGGCTTGATCTGAGCCGGGTTGGGGTTTCCCAAAGACAACCCCTACATTGTGTGGAAAAGTGGGGAGTGGGACATCTGAAGCAGACCCCATCCTGTCTGCAGCTCAGAGCCCGGCAATGCCGTTTGGGTGTGTGACTCTGGGCGACAAGAAGAACTATAACCAGCCATCGGAGGTGACTGACAGATATGATTTGGGACAGGTCATCAAGACGTGAGTGCCGGGTCTGTTGGGCCAGGGTGGGCGAGCCAGGGCTGGGGAAAGGGGAGTGGAGTACAGCCCATGCTGAGGCCGGGGCTGAGTGGAGTGCCTGCTGGCTGCAGTGAGGAGTTCTGTGAGATCTTCCGGGCCAAGGACAAGACGACAGGCAAGCTGCACACCTGCAAGAAGTTCCAGAAGCGGGATGGCCGCAAGGTGCGGAAGGCAGCAAAGAACGAGATAGGCATCCTCAAGATGTGAGTGTGAGGCCCTGGGGTGGGGTGGGGGAGGGGAGGAAGCAGGGCAGGAGGGCCAGGGACCTCAAGCAGTACCAGCCTCCGGCCAGTGAGCATGCTGTGGCCCACAGTGGCCACCAAAACCTCTCTGAGGGGCTTTACCCAGCTCTAGCGCTTGGCTCTTCTCTCTGCCGCCAGGGTGAAGCATCCAAACATCCTGCAATTGGTGGATGTGTTTGTGACTCGCAAGGAGTACTTTATCTTCCTGGAGCTGTGAGTGTGGGTCTGGGGTTCCAGGAGTCCTTAGTCCTCCCAGGTCTTTACCTGCTCCGCCCTCTGCAGCCAGGGCAAGCCCCCCTTCTGGACCCTTGGGGTTCCAGGTCCGTGTGCCTTGCCCAGCCAGCTGCCTGGTGTCGGTAGCCTGCCCACGTACTCCTGCCCCACCCCCGATCCTGCCCACGCCAGGCTCAGGGGCTGATGTCCCTCAGGGCCACGGGGAGGGAGGTGTTTGACTGGATCCTGGACCAGGGCTACTACTCGGAGCGAGACACGAGCAACGTGGTGCGGCAGGTCCTGGAGGCGGTGGCCTACCTGCACTCACTCAAGATCGTGCACAGGAACCTCAAGGTGAGGCCGGCAACCAGGTCAAAGGGCCAGTTGGCAGCTGGCCTGGGGCTGGGGTGGGCAGCACTTCGGGGTTGTGGTCCAGCCTCTGAGGGTTTCATGGTGTCTTCATTTGCCCACCCGCATGCTATTCCTGGCTGGAGCAGCTGGAGAACCTGGTTTACTACAACCGACTGAAGAACTCAAAGATTGTCATCAGCGACTTTCACCTGGCTAAGCTAGAGAATGGCCTCATCAAGGAGCCCTGTGGGACCCCCGAATACCTGGGCAAGCAGGGAGTAGGGCAGGGCAGGGTGGGACACAGCCTTCAAGGACTGGCTCTGGGTAGTGGAGGAGAAAGTCCCCACCCCAGCAAATGGGTGTGGGTGGTACAAGGCCAGGCCAGGGCTGATACTGACCAGCAGATGGATCCTGTTTGCAGCCCCAGAGGTGGTAGGCCGGCAGCGGTATGGACGCCCTGTGGACTGCTGGGCCATTGGAGTCATCATGTACATCCTGTAAGTGGATAAGTGGGCAAACAGGCTGGCAGTGAGGTGGGATGAGGGTCTGCATCCATGGCCTTCCTGAATGACCCTGAACATGGGGCCCCATGCAGGCTTTCAGGGAATCCACCTTTCTATGAGGAGGTAGAGGAAGATGACTATGAGAACCACGACAAGAATCTCTTCCGCAAGATCCTGGCTGGCGATTATGAGTTTGACTCTCCATACTGGGATGACATTTCGCAGGCAGGTGAGGAGGTATCCAGCATGAGGGCAGAGTAAAGGGCTAGTGTAGGGGACGGCTGTCAACCTTCTCTGCTGGACTCTGATCCCATCCCCGAGCCCATTTATCACCTCTAGACTGTGAGAGGGGTGCCCATGCCTAGACTCTCCCTGGCTTTCTCCCAGCCAAAGACCTGGTCACAAGGCTGATGGAGGTGGAGCAAGACCAGCGGATCACTGCAGAAGAGGCCATCTCCCATGAGTGGTGAGCAGGGAGCCGGGGGGCGGGCAGGAAGGATGGGAGGAGAGGCCAGGGGTTCCTTGTCCTCTGTCTTCCTCCATCCTTGAGGCCTTGAGTTGGGGTTCAGGGGGGTACCCAGAGCTCAGGCCAGCTCAGAGGGTCTGCCTAGGATTGTATAAGCAAAGGGTTGGGCGCAGTCTCCATGAAGGCCACATGCCCTCAGATCTAGACGCACTTGTACCCTTTCCAGGATTTCTGGCAATGCTGCTTCTGATAAGAACATTAAGGACGGTGTCTGTGCCCAGATTGAAAAGAACTTTGCCAGAGCTAAATGGAAGGTAAGGCTTGGATGGTTCTCTTTCCTGGCTTGATCCCCAGTGCTCCTTCTGGCATCACAGTTTCTTGCCTGCATCACAGCCCTGCAGACATACACAGGCTTTTCTTAAACCATCAAGTGTAGCTGTAGTCACTGTGATGACCTCAGGCAGGTGTGCTGAGCAGCTGGGTCCCTGGCCCTGGGTTGGTCAGAGGCAGCCAGAACCTCGTGGAATGGTCTGGGATTGGCTTTTGTGAATAAACAGATCCAGTTTCCATAAGCCTCACTCTGAGCCTCTCTCCACTGTCCTTTCAGAAAGCTGTCCGAGTGACCACCCTCATGAAACGGCTCAGGGCCCCAGAGCAGTCCGGCACGGCTGCAGCCCAGTCTGCTCCCGGCACAGACACTGCCACCCCTGGGGCTGCGGGCGGGGCCACGGCTGCAAGTGCAGCTGCCTCAGTCCTTGGGGGCAGTGCTGCCCCAGCCACCGTGGGTGACGCTACAAAGAGCGAGAACGTAGCTCCCACCGACCGTAGTGCCACCCCAGCCACAGATGGCAGTACCACCCCAGCCACGGATGGGAGCGTCACTCCAGCCACTGATGGGAGCATCACCCCAGCCACCGATGGGAGTGTCACCCCAGCCACCGACAGAAGTGTGACTCCAGCCACTGATGGGAGAGCCACACCAGCCGTGGAAGAGAGCACCATGCCCACCACCCAAAGTAGTGCCACACCGGCTGCCAAGGCTGTTGCCACCCCTGAGCCGGCTTTGGCCCAGCCGGACAGCACAGCCCCAGGGGGCGCAACAGGCCAGGCTCCACCCTCTAGTAAAGGGGAAGAGGCTGCTGGCTGTGCCCAGGAGTCTCGGAGGGTGGAGAGCAGCTGAGGGGGCAGGCTGTGGGGGGCGGGGGATGGGCAGGAGGGTGGGAGAGTGGATGAGGGGCTTCTCACTGTACATAGAGTCACTGGCATGATGCCCTCGCTCCCCCCCGCCCCTGCCTCCCAGCATGGGGCATGTCTGGGGGCCACAGGAGACCAGTCTCATCTCCTGTGTGTATGTGCGTGAGTGGTGGGCAGGCCAGAGGTGGGACCAGCCCTAGCCCCTGCATGGATTCCTTGTGGCTTTTTCTGTCTTTTGCTAGCTTCATCAGTTTCTGTTTCTTGTGGGATGCTGCTCTAGGGATACTCAGGAGGTCCCTGCTCCCCTGCCCCCCTTCCCTCTCTGCCTCACAGTTCCCCCCCCCACCCAGGCAGGCCCTGAAGGTCCCATCCTCTCCCAGGCCCTAAATTGGGTGGCCTTGCCCTGAGAGCTGGTCCTCCAGCGAGGCCCTGTCAGCGGTCTTAGGCTCCTGCACATGAAGGTATGTGCCTGTGGTGTGTGGGCTGCTCTAGGAGTGGAAACAGGCTGGTATAGAGAATGCTGTAATCTCAGGCAGTTTGCTTTAAGTCAAGACTGGTAACATGGCTGGGGGCACTGCTTGGTAGCCATGGGGGTCCTCAGAAGTGAAAAAGAATGAGCTGGAGGGTAGAAGCTCCCATCTCTGTCCCTGGGATGTCTCTCCTAAGACCCTTGAGCTGTTTCCTGCCCTCCTGGGTCCTGCAGTGGGTTGCCCTGTGCCCTGAGCTTCAGGAGCTTGCAAGGGGAAGGAGGAGCAATTAGGAGGTGGCGATGAGATCTGGGAGGGTGGAGTGCAGACCCAGGACCTAGCGTACCAGCCTAGCTGGGTCCTTACCCTGGGCTGAACAAGGACAGCTGCCACTGGCTCTTCCCAGATGGGCTCCCTTAGGCTCAGTCCACAGTCCTCTCCATCCCAGGCAGGGGGCCTGCTGCCTGGCAGTGTCCTGTAGTCTGATTTGGGGGTTTGCCCTTCACAGGGCCAGATTTTCTGCTCTCTCAATTCAACAGTGAAATAGACAGGAACACTCTCTATGTCTATGACCCACTTCCCCTTCTATCAAGGTTTAGAGAGAGGCCCAGGTGTCTCTGGGCCACGCTGAGTTGCTTTTGCTGGAATGAGGGAGTGAATAAAGCTCCCCAGTTTCCTAATGGAGGCTCCTGGCAGGTGCCCTTTGTCAGACCCTACTAGAGCCTGGGCAGGCAGCCACACTGGTCCCAGCCCTCGCTTGGCACTCGGGGGTAGTCCTGCCCTTCTCCCTGCATGCCTGTGGGTCTGCTCTGGTGTATGAAGGTCGGTGGGCTGTGTACCTGCTGAACCTGGCAAATAAATGTCACTCTGCCAAAGCCTCTGGCCACCCTCTCGCCTTTGCTTCCTCTATATTACTGGGGAGGGCCCCTGGAAGGCAGTGGGGAGGGGAGAGGCTGGGGGTAGTTTCGCTGGTAGTGGTCTGAGCTCAGTGCCATGTGGATTGCTTGGGATGTCACAGGATGGTCCTTGATGGTTGGGGTGGGGTCCTCTGGACTCTAGAAACCATGTGGGGCTACTGTTCTGACAAGTCTTGTTGAACAAGGAGTCTTTATCTTGACTTAGGCATAAGACCGGGAACCCACCAAGGCCATCCACCATAGGGAGAGACCTTTTGTACATGGCCAAAGTGGGTATCCCTAGGTTGTGGAGAGGGTGCAGGATAGGCATTACACAATGATTCTGTCCTGCCCTTTGTGTTGATTTCTCCTTCCTGTAAACAACACCGTCGCTTTCCACATAGGTCCCAAGGACTTCACTCTGGGTCCACTTCAGGTGGAACAGATAAGCTTTATATTGTGGGGCTGTGTATAAGTTTTTTTTCTGGGAAGAGGAGAGTAATACTACTAAAAACAGTTAATCACAAAGACTCCTAGGAGTACTCCTTTCAGCCGAGATTAGTCCAGGTGAACTCACCAGGGATGCCGCTCTTCCTCAGAGAGGATCCCAAAGACAACTCTGATGTGGGAATGAGAAAAAAGGTCTATTAGTCACTTGTCTAAGATGTATCTGGGCCTCCAAAAATCCAACTCGATTGCAGTCCCGAGGCAAAACTGATCCTCCCCAGAGCTAGGACCGAAGTTAGGTTACTGGCCCTGCCACCTCTAATCACTTCTAAACTCAGGAGTCAAGTCTTGCTTGTATAGATCTGGCGTGAGCTTGAGATGTCCTGAGTGGTTAGGACTTGTGTCCATCTTTCTAGGACCACTCAGAAAGGAGGGCTGAGAGGGTGCAGCAATCTTTCGGTCTGGGAACTATGGGTTTCCACTATACGGTCAAGCACCGACCAGAGCCCAGGGGACCCGCTCTCTATCGAGACCGTCGTCCCATTCCCTATTCTACTCTCCGAGAGTACAGAGAAGGCTGCGCTGAGAGAACAGGGCTCAGAAGCCCGTGCCCAGCGCACCTCTAGTCACCTCAGGCTTGGGACCATAACGCCCTGCGTTGCCCCCAAAAGGGGCCCGGCCGGCAGCCTAGCTGGTCCCCGTACCAATCCGGCGCTGCGCCGCCGCTGTACCTGCGGTCTCAACCGCCAGCAGCCTGATGATTACCGCTTGACAGTTTCAGGCCCGCGCTCCGCCCCAGGATTCTTCACGGCCGCCGGGCCGTTAAGCCCCGCCCCCGAGGGTTCGTCCAATCGGGACCCAACCCTCTGTGCAGCCACTTCCGATCCTCTCCCGGAAGTTGCGCCGTGGAGCCAAATTCGAAGCTAGTGAAGACGCGGAGGCACGGCCGCCAAGCTGGACCCGTCGCCGTTTCCTTGGCTACCTCGGCGACTCGAGACCAGTCATCATGCCTATCCGTGCCCTGTGCACCATCTGCTCCGACTTCTTTGATCACTCCCGCGACGTGGCCGCCATCCATTGCGGCCACACCTTCCACTCGCAGTGGTGAGTGAGCGCTGTGTTGGAGCTGGGCCCTCGCTCCCGTAGGGCTACAGGACTGTGGGGTGTCGGGGCTCCGGGCGACCCGCCCCCGGAGCCCAGACTAGTGCTGAGGAAGACATTAGATGGGAGTCCCACGAGAGTTCCTGACCTGGGCAGAAGCGAGTTGTGTGGCAGCCTTCCCCGAGGAGGTGACAGCTGAACTGAGGCTGGAGGTGCGGGTGTAGGGGGGAAGGTACAAGGCTTGATTTAATGGAGACAGGGTAGAGGTTCCTTTGATTGGCTTGCAGAGAGATGTGGTTTCAAAATTATTTGTACGTGCAGATGCTTTCACCCCATTAGTGAGCCCTTTGTTTTCTGCCAGACCTGGTAGCCAACAGTCTACTGGATTTGTTGTGGTTTGCTTGATGGTTTGGAATGATTCTGTCCAGAGTCATCTTCTTGGTCAGACACTGCACTGTATTCACTGGCCTAGGCAAACCCAAATTAACATCAATGGCAAGGAGGTGTTTTCGAATCAAGGTGTTCTGCTGACTGGTAGGACCGTTCTGTTGAATGCACAGCTGGTGGGGAGATCCCCCTGGTAGCTGTGGACAGGCTGAGTTGCCAGTTCTCTTTTTAAACTGTGATGAAATACATGTAACATAAAATTAACCATTTTTTCCTTTTCCTTTTTTCCCCACTATACACTGTTCTATTGGAGCAATATTTTATATATATATATATATATATAAAATCTAACATTTAACATTTTGCAAAAGCTTACTTAACAAAAAATTTCAGTTCTGAAAATGTATACGGCCTGATTTTTATATCATACTAAAACAGGCCCTTTGGAAAGGACATATGGAAGTAATTGATTTCTCTGGTGAACACAGCCTTTGTTTATACTTGCTCCAAAACTTCTGACATGATGATACTATTTTCTCATATTACCACCATTCTAGCGTTGTTCTGTTGCCCAGCTCCACGCATTCATCTCTCACAAGATTCATAAAGAGATCAAATTCCTGCAGTATTTCTTGGACATGTCTGCCACCATTTAATTTCAATGAAAACTTCATAAAATTTTAAAATTTTTTCAGGAGAATGTTTACTCAGTGAGCTCGAAGATGCCTTCCATTTTGACCATTTTAAGAGTACAATTCAGTGGCATTAAGTACGTTCACAACGTGTAACCATCACCACTAGTTCCAGAACGTTTCCGTCCAAACTAAGCACTGAACCTTTAAACAATAATTTTCCATTCCCGCCTTCCCACAGCCCATAGAAACCTCTGTTTTACTTTCTGTCTCCTTGAATTTTTCTTTTCCAGGGACCTCGTGTAAGTGAAATCACAACATTTGGTTCTTTTAAGTTTGGCTTATTTCACTAAGCATAGTGTTTTCAAGATTCATCCATGTTGTAGCATGTTTCAGAATTTTACTCCTTTTTATGACTAAGGGATTATTATTCGTTGTACGAAAATAACACATTTTGTTTGTCCCTTCATCTGTTAATAGACATTGGGTTGTTTCCATATTTGGGCTACTGTGCATAATGTTACTATGAACATTAGTGTACAAGTATATTTTCAAGTTCCTGGTTTCATTTATTTTGGGTTATCCCAAGAGGTAGACTAACTGGATCATATGGTAATTCTATGTTTAATGTTTTGAAAAGCTGCCCTTCTGTTTTCCTGTGTCTGCTGTACCATTTTACATTCCTACTAACAATTCACAAGGGTTCCAGTTTCTCCACATCCTTGCCAGACTTTTTTTTTTTATAATAGCCATCATAATGGGTATCTTTGCTTTTACTGTGTGTGTTTAAAGCTATCAGTTTCCCTGTTGGCACTGCTTTTGCTGTCTTACACAGTTTTGGTATGTTTTTATTTTCATTAATCTCATGGTATTTTCTTATTTCCCTTGCAATTTCTTCTTTGACCCATTTGTTATCTAAGAGTGTGTTGTTTAATTTCCACACATTTGTGAATTTTCCATTTTTCTTCAGTTATTGATTTTTAGTTTCATTCTATTTTGATCAGAAAATCTGTTTTGTCTGATTTTCAATCTTTTAAAAAATTTTAAGATTTGTTTTGTGGGCCACCATATGGCCTATCCTAGAGAATGTTCCATGTGCACTTGAGAAGAATGTGTTTTCTGCTATTGTTGGGGGGAGTATACATCTGTCAGTTTAGTTGGTATAAAGTGTTGTTCAGACCTTCTGTTTCCATATTGATCATCTGTCTGATTGTTCTATCCATTATTGAAATTGTGTAATATTAACTCCAACTTTTATTGTAGAACTTGCTATTTCTCCCTTAATTCTGTACAATTTTATTTCGTATATATATTTCATGTATATTTTGTTAGGTGTATTTATGTTTATAATTGTTATTTCTTGTTAGAGTGAGCCTTTTATCAATATATAAAGTCATTATCTCTTGTATGCTTTTTTGACTTAAAGTTTGTTTTGTCTGACAATAATATAGTTACCTCAATTCACTTTTTGTTACTATTTTTATTTATTCTGGTTGAAATTCATGAGGTTTCTTTAACTTGTGGAACAATTTCTGTAGGTGGAAAGCTTTACCGCCTGAGCTACCAGGGAAGTCTCTATTTGTGGAACAATTTCTTTACTCAATTCTGGGAAACTATCAGCCATTATTTCTTCATATATTGCCTCTATTCCATTATTTCTTTTCTTTCTATATTAGTATCTCATTTCTGCTGTAACAAATTACCACTAACTTAGTGGCTTAAGACAACAGAAGTTATAATTTTGGAGGTCAGAAGTCCAAAATGGGTCTTGCTTGGTTAAAATGAAGATGGAAGTGGGGCTGTGCCTTCTTTGGCTCATGGCCTCTTTCGCCATCTTCAAAGTCAGCAGTGTTACATCTTCAAACCTCTGTATGACTCTTGACACTCCTGTCTCTTTTATAAGGACGCTTGTGATTACATGAGACACCCCTGGATAATCTCCCCATCTCCTTAACTTAATCCCATCTCCAAATTACTCTTGTTGTATAAGGTAGCGTATTCACAAGTTTTGGTAATTAGGACATAGAGGTGAGGGTGTTATTCTACCTAATGCTTTCTCCCTGGAACTTCTAATTATATGCATCCTAGACCTCACGGTAACTTTTATATCTCTTATCATTTCTTATGTATTTTTCCACCTTTCTAATTCTCAGTGTTTCCTCTGACATATCTTTCAATGTACTGATTCTTCAACTCTGCCTAAACTGCTAGTAAATTCATCCATTGAATTCTTAATTTGGGCCATTTGTTCAGTTTTGGAATTTCTGTTTATTTCTTAAGTTCTGATATGTCACTTTTTTTTTTTTTTGATATGTCACCTTTTATTTTCAAATTCTCTTTTGATATTTTCGATCTTAATTTTTGTTTATCTGGCATAGTGTGTCTGTCATGGTGGATGATAATTCCAGTGTTTGAAGTCTCTGTGGTTATGTTCTGGTTTACAATATGCAGTGCTTTCCCTTGTGTAACTGTTTACTTTAAAACAAAGCATTGTATTGAAATATAGTATAATACATAAAAGTACAAATATAAGAAATGTATAGCTTGCAGAATTTTTGCAAACTGAACACACTCATGCAACCAGAATTCAGAGCAAGAAACTAGACATCAGCACTCCAGAAACCTCCTGCTGAGAAAGACTGGGACCCGGGACACTCTTCCAGAATGCTTATATTTGTACCTAGACAAATGCCTCCTCAAACAACAGAATACAAAGAAACTATAAGGGACTAAAAATAACTACATGCGTGCTCAGATTGGGCAAACTATGAACAAGGAGATACAAAAAGGCCAAAACCCAGCTGCCATTTCTGAGGTCTTGGAGCAAAACCAGGGTACCATACAGGATCCCTCCACACAGGACCACCAAAGGGGTGGGCACACCGCCACCTGAGCTACCCCTGTGGCTCAACCTGCCAATCCGCCCCTCTGCACTCACCCCATATAGGAACCGGCCGGCTCCTTGCTCCCCGCCTCCCCCCAGAGAGCAAGCAAGGACACCTGTTGTTTGTTTTTGCTCCCTCCTGGTGCAGTCCCAAGAAAGCCTTGCCTGAATTTCTCCTCTGGCCTCTTACCAGTCTCTGTGGATTAAAGAGTCCAAGGGCCCCATGCAGTCTTCCAGTTACTCCCACCAGCCTGCCTTTCCTCCACTCATGATAGCCACTGTCTTGACTTCCAGCAACATAGATGAGTGTTGCCTACCTTTTATTTTATGGGAATGGAATTAAACACAATTTACTGGTTTGGTTTTTGGTTTTTTTTTTTTTTTTGGTATCAGGCTTCTCTTCTTCAATCTTACATTTATGTAATTCACCCATAATTTGTTCTGAGTTGTAGACGCATTCATTCTCATTGCTGTGTAGTATTCCGTCATCATGCATGGTTAGCTTTGTATTATATGTATTTGAAAAATTATTTATAGAAAAAAATTGCAGTCTGGAAAGATGGTATCATCTTCTTGAAAGGATTGTTTTTCCCTGGTCCCTGGCGGGAGTGGGGGGGGATTGTCTACAAGTAGGCCAACTAGTAGGTTGTCTACTACATTTTGTTTTTGTTTTGACTGCACCACCTGGCTTGTGGGATGGTAGTTCCCCAACCAGGCAGTAAAAGCACAGAGTCCTTTACCACTGGACCACCAGATAATTCCCTAGTAGGAGAATATTTTAAAGTTTAGGGCAGATCGATGGTGCATAGCTGGGCTGTGTTTTACTTTTACTTCTACTTGCTACCTCTAGTTTACCCTCACTTTGAAAGTTCCCCTTTGGAGTATTATAATTCCTGTCTCCGAGGGACCCTGACTTTGACCATTGCTCCTAACCCCAATCAAAGCCTAGAAAGTTGATAAAATAACAGCTCAGGGGAGAGAAGTCCAAGCCAGCAAGGGCAAAAAAAAAGGGTCAGTTGGTTGGATTGCTTGTACTAGTCAGGCCTTGTGGGATATACCATCACTACCTGAGGTGCTGCCCTCCTGGTTGGGTAGGCGATGGGTCAGAGAGGAGCAGGACAGACGCTATAATGGTCAGGATGGCTACCTGGACTGTATGTCTCCCCCTAAAACCAGTCTGTTTTTTTGTTCTCATTCCAGCCTAATTCAGTGGTTTGAGACAGCACCAAGTCGGACCTGCCCACAGTGCCGAATCCAGGTAAAGTTGGTGGGGTGAAAACTCCCCAGCTAAAGACACATCTTGCCGGGGAGCAAGGATGAGGAGAGGTCTCTGAAGCAAAGCAATGTCTTTGACCTGTCTGAACCATCTGGTTTGAGGCTGGTTGAGCCTCACTTGTGCTCTTAAACGGTGTGGGAGGCCTGCTTTTGCCCATGGGGAGCTGGCAGATGGACTCATTGCCTGGGCCAGTCTTCACCTGGCTAGATTTGGTCTCCTTATCTGCCTTTCCCCTGCAATGCTCAGCACCTAGAGTTGGGGTATTTTTGAGCAGTTACCACATGGATCTGTAATGACATGACTCAGTAACTAGTGGTACCCAGTTGGGACACCTGAAGGATTGCAGAGGTCACTTCCCTCCAAGGGATGTACTGTGAAAGATTAGGTGGGAGATGGGCTTGGCTGCATGTCTCCTGTCCTCCTTGCCCATGACCCAGCTATGCAGTCACACTGTGTCTCGTTCTTTCATTCAGGTTGGCAAAAGAACCATTATCAATAAGCTCTACTTTGACCTTGCCCAGGAGGAGGAGAATGTCTTAGATGCAGAATTCTTAAAGGTACCCAGACTTTATCTCATTCTGCTGAATCCCAGGCCCTCTGAGAGTTCACTTTTTGCTCCTACCCAGGGAGGGTACCTAGAGTCTGGAAATGGGTTCTGGAAGGGGAGACTTGATAGAGATTTCAAGGCTGGGACAGTGAGAGCAGAGAATAATTGATAATGTTCCAGTCATTGGAGAAATCCTCTGTCAGGGAGGAAGGGAGCCACTTGACTGTGAGCCCTCCCCTTGGAATTTCAGAGCAGTTCTTGCCATAGTTTAGAATGTGTCTCTCAAAGTCCCCTCACCTTGCAAAGGATCTACAACCATTTTTTCCTGTCCTCAGCCAGGGAAGATGTGTGAACCCACTGTTTGCAAACCTGCCTGTGCTTCACAACTGCCTGGGCAGCTTGGTGTGTATCCAGGTGCCTGAGTCTTTCCCAGAGCAGGAGTGGAGGGCAGGGCCCATGGAATCAAGATACACAGCCAGGATGGAAACCCACACTGCAGGGGAGGATGGGTGGATTCCCTCCCACACTTCTACTGCTTCCCCTCCAAGCCTAAGATTTAGCTTACCTCGTGCACAAAGGGATTGGATTGGCAGAAACCTCTCAAGGAAGTGGGATTGGGGTTTGCAAGTGAACCTGGACTCTGAGGGTTAATTTTTTGGGCATCTGTCAGATTAGGATTCATTTGGCCCTGGCCCCCGGGGGGGCTGTGACGTCCTTGGAACCTCACTGCTTCAAGAACGTGGAGCTTTTGTGCTTAAAGCTAACGTGTTCATCGTCATGGTAACTGCTCCCAGTTTTAAGCCGTGTCCTTCTTGTGAGAAAAGCAACAAAAGCAGCTTTAGTTCTTTCTGATTTTCTAAGCCATATCTGGGAGACAGGAAGGCAAAATCTTGAGTAGTTTGGAGCAAGGGCTTGGAAGGCACCCTGCTTGAGTGTGGAAGGTGCTGGGGGCTAGTGGTAAGGTTGGGCTGGCAGCTGCTCTCAGGCAGCCCGTTTGTGCCCTTCTCAGTCCACGGCTTCCACCTGAGATGTCCAGCCTGTTTAACCAGCTCAGCCACCAACAGCTCCTGCCCCAAAGTCCTGAGTAGAGAGTTTGACAACAGGAGCTTAGCCATGAACAAGGGCCCGGCCTTGTATTGGTCATAATATGAGTCTTGCATTGACCTGGGAAGCCTAACCTGGATGAAGATTGTTCTGTATCCAGCTACCATCACGAACCCTAGGCCAAGCCTTTCAGGGCTACAGAGCCTGGTTTTCCTGCTTATTGAGTAGGTACATCTCTTGCCCATAAGGGTGTTGAGTGCATGGGACTCCTGCATGGGAGTGGGGCTCTCTTCTGCTCCAGCCTCTCAGTGGTTCTGTGGCAGTGGCTTTGGAACATGTGTACGGGCTTGGGGAGGCTCGTTTGACCCTCACAACAGTCTGGTTCGAGCCTGGCTCAGGTGAGCTTTCATCCAGGGGTGCAGAATTGTCTCGGCTCCCCTACCCTGTTGGATTCTGGGGCTGGAAGAGTCCTGGTGCACAGAGCCAGCTTAGGGCCGGGAGGGGATAGACCGTGAAGCAGGTAGGACCCAGGGTGGAGGGAGCAGTGTGGCCCGGGGTGCTTGGCCATCCCAAATCTGGGTCCCCAATGGGTCCAGCTAATGCCAGGGAAGGTCAGGGCGGGCACAGGCCGGAGGAAGCGATGAAGCTTCTGCCATAAAACCGACCGCGCAGGCCAGGCTCCACTTCTTTTGCCCCCTGTTGTGCCTCTTTTCCCGTCCTAGGGTCTTGTACCTGAGATTATCTTCATTTTACCGACTTTTTAAAAAGACACTCAGAGACCAAGCAAGGCTTCTGTCTCCCTTGTTGATCTCGCTTGGCCTTGAGGAGCAGCAGGTTCATGCTTCCCTGGGCTCACAGGCCTCATTGTCCCCGCCTGGGGCTCCCCACAGACCTTATGTGAGGCTGGGTAGGGGCCAGCTGTGATGCCTTCTTGCTGCTTACTGTGAGTATTGCCTTGCAGAATGAACTGGATAATACCAGAGCCCTGCTTTCCCAGAAAGGTGAGTTCCCAGGGGCCTTGGGAAGCCCCTGACTTGGGTACTGTACTGAGGCCTGGAAGGAAGGCCTCAGCCTTCTGGCATATCCAGGGGCTGTCCCTGCTTGGTATAGCCAAGAGTCTTAGCAGCTCTTGTGATGGCAGGAAAGGAAAGGGAGGTGACTGATGCTGTTCACCCAGATGAGGTGAGCCTCTTCTTTGTCTGGGCTTCTTGCCTAGGACCCAGGCTGGGAGGAGTCTACCTGGCAGGTCAGAGTATTGTAGTTGAGCGTTCCGCTGCCAGATTTGGCAGGAACCTGCTTGAGGGTTTCCCTCATAGCTCAGTTGGTAAAGAATCCACCTGCAATCCAGGAGACCCTGGTTCAATTCCTGGGTTGGGAAGATCCCCTGGAGAAGGGATAGGCTACCCACTCTAGTATTCTTGGGCTTCCCTTGTGGCTCAGCTGGTAAAGAATCTCCCTGCAATGTGGAAGACCTGGGTTCGATCCTTGGGTTGGGAAGATCCCCTGGAGAAAGGAAAGGCTACCTACTCCACTATTCTGGCCTGGAGAATTCCATGGACTGTATAGTCCATGGGGTCGCAAAGAATCAGACACAACTGAGCGACTTTAACTTTTTCAGTGCTTGAGTTCTGGGATGATGAATGAACTAGACCTACAGGATCAGGGCGCAGTGAAATCTTTACTCCAGTAACTCTGAGCGACAGAAAAAGGGTCTTATTCCCAGAATGGCTGGGCGTCCCTGGTTTGGTGCTTGTCAGAGGGATAAGCAGGCTGCCTGACTTTGTGGCCCACGACTTGTTCCTCACCTGGCTCTGGGGTGGGGTGCTGGGGCCCAAGGGCCCAGGTTCTCATAGTGCACAGTGGACAGGCTTCTCCCCTCCCTCTGTCCCCCGCCTCTGCTCCAGAGAAGGAAAAACGAGACAGCCAGCTCATCATCGACTCTCTGCGGGACACACTGGACGAGCGCAACGCCACTGTGGAGTTCCTGCAGAGGGCCGTGGACAAGGCCGAGATGCTGTGCTGCGCCCTCAAGGTGGGTCCCCAGCCCCCCTGGGCACAGGTCGGTGGTGAGATGCAGCCTTCCTCCTGGGCTCCCCACTCTGGGCTTGTCTTTTGTGTCTGCCTTGGTCAATACCATGGTCTGTACAGTGGTAAAATGGAGGGAAATTCCATCTTCCCCAGGCCTCCCACCCAGCCCATGAGAAAAAGGTCTTATTGCCCGCACCTGTGGATGTTGTATTAGTTAGTTTGGAGAGGTGAGGCCTGCCCAGTGCTTCATGGACGGACTGCTCAACCAAGATCGCAGTGAGCCTAGGCCATGTTTCCCAAAGTGGTTTGTACTCCACTGACAAAGCCAGCCTGAAGAACCTTCTGTTAGCGTGCCTGTCCTTGGCTGGGCTGCTCTCTGGAGCCAGATCAAACAGCATCCCAGAGAGGAGCAGGGGGCCTTTGAAGTCATCTGTGCTGAGCTGACCGGGCAGATCAAAGCCTACAGAGCAAGCGGCTCTAGATAGACCCAGATGAATTTTGTATCAGCCTGGGTTGGTGAGCCTCTTGCTCTCCATGGGGCAGGAGGTGATTGATCTGAATCCACAGTTGATATTCTGACCTCATACGAAGGAGCCAGTCCTTGCCAGATGCCATTTGAAAAGGAAAAGGACCCATCCGGGTGAACAGATAGGGCCCCAGGGTGTTCACCGTTCCTGGCTCTGCTTGATGGCTGGATTGGATCACATGGCCTGGCCAATGGGAAGGAAGGAGTGAACTAGCACCTGGCCGCAGAGCTGGAGTGTTTTTTTGGCGTTCCCAGGTCGGAGATGAAGTGGCCAGGTGCTGAGGGCAGCTGTCCTACCCTGGCAACTGTCCATAGCTGATGGATAGCACGGCCTGGATCTGTGCTCCAGGCTTCTTCAGCTTCCTACACAGTAGTCCCTGGACTCTGGCAGCCCCCAGCAGGCCTTTAGATGCTGAGAGTGAGCTATGCCGATGGTAAGACGTATCTCAGGAGGAAGCAAGCTGGGGGGTGAGGAAGCAGCTGGTCCAGGGCCTCATAGCAGCAAAAGCACATGCCAGAGTGGGGCCCAGGAGCCTTACCTCCTGGGGCTAGAGGACATGCTTATCAGCATTTTCAAAAGCAGACAGTTCTAGGGTGGAGTTCTCCCAGCAACTTTAGCCTTGGCCCCTGGGAGCCTCCAAGCAACAGACATGTGGGAGTGCGTTTGCTCTTCAGAAGCAGATGAAGTACTTGGAGCAGCAGCAGGATGAGGCCAAGCAAGCTCGGGAGGAGGCCCGCCGACTCCGGAGCAAGATGAAGAGCATGGAGCGGTGAGCTTAGAGCGGGTGCCTACCCTGTGCCCTTGCACCCCCGGGGCACAGCTCTCAGGGCTGCAGCAGGGGTTGGCTAAGCTCGGTGGCTCAGCTCTCCGTAGGCCACGGGGGGCTCAGGCCTTACTCAGCCTCTGCGGGCTCCTTCACTTTCCATGGGAAACCTGGCAGGGCTTTTGTTCCAAGAACCTCTCCCTGGGATCCCTGACCTGAGACCCTCCGGCAGCACCCCTTCTCCCTCAGCAGTGTCCCTGCAGCTGTGCTGAGCTCTGCACTGGGGCCTTTCTTTGGGCAGAGCCGCCTGCTAAAGCATCCTAGCAGCTCAGGCTGTCTCCATAGCAACGGCAGCAAAGGGAGGCAGAGCTGCACTGGGTACCTACCCATCAGCCTCCAGATTTTAAATGCCGTGGGCCGGGTGTTTTTCAGAATTGAGCTCCTACTCCAGAGCCAGCGGCCCGAGGTGGAGGAGATGATCCGAGACATGGGTGTGGGACAGTCCGCGGTGGAGCAGTTGGCTGTGTACTGCGTGTCCCTCAAGAAGTGGGTACTCTGGCCCCTGTATCCAAGCTGAGTCATGGCCCCAAGCCATGCCCCTCTGTGCGTTGCCTGTCTCTTGTGAAGCAGAGCAGGCAGAGTGAGGAGCAGGCTCTGGAGCCCTGCTGCCTTCGTTTGAACCACATCCCACCTCTTACTGTGTGGCCAAGAACCAGTTTCTTAACATCTCTGATCCTTAGCTTCCTGAATAGATAATAATAACCTGCCTCACAGGATTATTGAGAGAATTGCATGTGAATTATAAGTGTTATTTCTAAGGAGGTTGGCATAGCTTGCCGTGCTCCAGTTTGATAGCTGGAGCTTGTTCCCCATTAGCACGCGGTTACTGATCCCGCCTGGCTTGCGTTAGAAACTTAGCTCAGGTGTTCACTCCCATGGGTGTTGGGTTGGAGAAAAGGGGCCACTTGGCTGACAGGTATGAAGGATCCCCAATGCCTGGTGTGTAGCCAGGTGGTGTAGGGGGCCTCCCAGTGGGACCAGGGTTTCCTGCACACCCTCTCTAGTCTCCAGGAAACAGATTGACTAGCTCTTCTAGCATCTGGGGTGCTTGACCCCCTGCAGCACCAGCCAGTCCCTGCTGGGCTCTGGTGTCAGAGTTGGAATGAGCAAGGCCGAGGGCTTGGGCCGGGCTTTGTGTCTGCTTGGGGCTGTGACTCAGTCTGACCAGGCGGTGTCCCAGCCTGACATCTCTTTCCGTGGTCCCTTCGTAGAGAGTACGAGAATCTAAAAGAGGCACGGAAGGCCTCAGGGGAGCTAGCTGACAAACTGAAGAAGGACTTGCTTTCTTCCAGAAGCAAGGTAACTTAATGGGGAGCCGAGTGTGAGGGGAGAGGTGGCTGTCCTTTTGTCATGTGCGTGAGTGTCTCCTTGGCAAGACTGGGGCTGTGGGATGACTCACAGAGGCTGGCTTCTGGCCCTCACTAGGCACTGACTCTGGCTTGCGTGGCTTGTCTGCTTAGGGTGGCAGGTCACACAGCTGTCACTCCAACACCTGCACACTTCTGTTCCCCTCTGCGCTCTGGGTACCTCTCAGCTGGCTGGAGCACACAGGTCCCAAATGTGATGGCTTCAGGGGCCTATTTTTTGTTCCAGGCCTAGAGTAGGAGGCCTCTTGTTCTTTTCTTTGTGGTTTGTTTATTATATTTATTTATTGTGCATGTGTGTGTATGTTGCCATTTGGCTTATTCCCCTTGTTCCTCGATTCCCTGACAAGGGATTGAACCTGGGCCATTGGCAGTGAAAACTCAGAATTCTTACCACTAGACCACCAGGACTCCCCGTAGAAGACCTCTTAAAACCTGAATCAGTCAACACAGATGCTTTTTCTGGGCATGGTGCATCTCAGGACATGAATGTGGGGAGGAGACCTGGACTGCTCCAAATGAACACTGCCAGACTAAGACTAAGGTCCAGCCCCATGGAGCTTGGGTCTTCCCTGTGTCCCCCACTCCTCCTGGGCCTGGGCTCCCACGAGCTAGTGTAGCAGCAGGTGGGGGCAGGGCACACAGCCACCCCTATGTTCGTCCTTCGCTCCTTACACTTGCTTGCAGTTGCAGACAGTCTCCTCTGAACTGGACCAGGCCAAGTTGGAGCTGAGGTCGTCTCAGAAGGACTTAGAGAGTGCTGACAAGGAAATTGCGGTGAGGAACATCTATGAGCAGGTGGAGATGAGGGGTGGTTTATGTGCCCTGCAAGACCTGGGCTGGATGAGTTCTGCCCACGAACCCTGCCTCAGTCAGTGGTCGCAGCCCTGGGCTCTCTGTATTCTCCTGGTTCGGGGTGGGTCAGGACAGGAGTCTTGGCCTTTGGTCTGGAGCCTGGGCTGCTCAGCAGAGGACAGAGAGCACAGGGGTCTTGCTCACAGTCTGTCCTGTACCTGCATCCTTGAGGTCACCAGAGGAGGGGCTCTGCCAGAAGGGGTTCTCAGGTCAGGTGGTCCTGGCCTCCTAAGCCTGATATTTGACTTTCAGGCCTTGTTCTGGTCCCAGTGGGCTTGCCTTTCATGCGTACTGCTCACGTCCTTGGCGGTCACTCTGGACTTGGTGCCCTCAGCCTTTCTTTCACACTCTTCTCTTTTCTTCCTGAAGAGCCTGAAAAAAAAGCTGACGATACTGCAGGAAACCCTGAAGCTGCCACCAGGAGACAGTGAAACTATCAACCGCCTCGTTTTAGAGAGGTTCGTTGACCCTCTGGGGTGGAACAGGGACTCCAAGCTGGTGAGCTCCCTGTTAAGGGTGTCTTCACCCTTTCTGGCTTTGTCGGGGGTAGGTGGCCCAGGTCGGCCTGAAGGTTGTGGACCTCCTGCCCCGAGTGACAGCCAAGACTGAGCTGGAAAGTGGCTTTGAAGCAGGCCCTGGGCTCTGACAGAGAGAGGTCAGAAAGAACCTAGAGATGGTCAGAGAAAAGGGAGGAGCATCCTGTGTATGGAGCAGCTCACCTAATATATCCGCCTGCCCCAGGTTCTGAAACAAACATGAAACCACCCACCAAAAGAACTCTCCTCTGGTCCCAGCACCGTCACTAAAGCTGCCACCAGAGGGAGCCAAGAGGCCGAGGGATGGGTGTCCCTGCCTGTGTGGCCGCCTGGAAACCGATAGGCTGAGAGGGTCCTCAGGCCTGGCTGGCCCATTGGTGGTCCGAACAGAAAATACAACCCAGCGACCCAGCCGCTTTTATTCGAGCCACTTTTCAATGTTGGAAAATCACTATGCTCCCTCTTCCACGCATCCACTCATTTGCTCAGAGCCTGCCCATCTAACTTATGAGCTGCCTCCCTGACCCTTTCTCTTGCTCCCACCTCTATGTGAGGCTTGGGACCCATCCTCTACTCCTCCCATCTGTCCAGCATAGCAACCCCTGGGCATCCTACCACTCCCTTGCCAAACACCTCCCAGGACCCTCTGCACTCAGCCTTCATGGAGCTGGCCTTGTGGGTGGGGTGGACCTTCAGGCTTCAGGCCAATCGCACTGCCCCTTGCAGCAGGACACCCCTGGCCTTACTGCTCTGTGCCCTCCTGCTCCATGTTCCGCTGCTCCATGTCCTCTTGTTCCATGTTCTCCTGCTCCGTGTCCCCCTGCTCTTCTCCACACTGAAGGGTCCACTGTCCTCTGCACTCCGCTCCCTAGTCTCCTCAGCAGAAATGAGCTTACTGTCTTCTGCACAGGTACTGCTTCGTATTCAGATGCCATTGGGTGCCAGGGGCCACAGAGGTGCTCTGGAGGCTTGTGTACACTCTGGTCCCCCCCAGGATGTACACACCCAGCTGTGGCACATGAGATCTTCCCTGACCAGGCATCGAACCCTCATTTCCTGCATTGCACGGCGGATTCCCAACCACCAGGGAAGTCTCTACTACTTGAATGTATGTCTCATATTCAAGCTCTGAAAGTGCCAGCCCCCTAGGGGAGTTGTTTGGACAGTCTCTAATACTGTCCACTGGCCATGATAAGTAGCACTGGAAGGAACATCCATCTGCTTCAGTCTGTGGTCACCTCTTTGACAGGATCCTTGTGTGTACTCCGAGAAATGAGGCTTCTTGGACCAAAGGTTTTTCATTTGCATATTTGGGTTTTCTGTGGGTTTCTGCTTGCTTCCTTGCACGTCTCACTGTGTGAAGGACCAAGCCAAGGACTGATCTTTTTTCTGGAGAGATTAGGGTTTCCTTGCAGGACAGCTGTAAACCAGGTGTGAGCTCCAGGCCCCTGGAGCTGATCCATCTCTAATGCTTGAGGGGCTGTTTCCACTGTGATCCTGAGTAACCAAACTGTCTCTGCCTTATAGCCCAGCTCCTGTGGAGATGCTGAGCCTGAAGCTTCGCCGGCCAGCCTTTGGCGATGACATTGACCTCAATGCCACCTTTAATGTGGACACTCCCCCAAGCCAGCCCTCCAGCACCCAGCATGGCCTTGCCAAGAGGCTGTTCCCTGAGAAGTCACAGTAAGTGGTGGTCCCTGGCCCTTCCACAGCCTGGAGTGAGGATGGCTAAGAGATCTCTGCAGGTCCTGTGCTAACAGCTCTGAGTGGCTGATGGGGCACTGAGGGTCACCTGGGTTTGGACATGAATCTGGTTCCAGCCACCTCTTTTTCCCTCTCCTGAGTACTCACTCTATACAAAGCCCTTCTCTTGCTTGTCTCATTAATCCTTACGTCTCTTTCTTGCAGTTCTCCTGTTCAGGATGTTCCCAAGAAGATGCCCAAAGGCCCCAGGCAGGTAAGGCCCCCGAAGAAGCTCAGGCAGTCACCCTCTATCCTTGGCCAGGACTGAGTATAAAGCTGGTCTTCTAAGAGATCAGGGTCTTGCCAGAGCCCTCTCACTCCTAGAGGACTGAAGCACTCTGGAGCCACCCTGGGAACCCTACTGCCTGTCCTTCCTGCCTCCAGATGAGGCACCAGAGATCCTGATCCTGTTCCCACATGCCTCCCACCCTCTTTGCTGCCACCTGGCTCATTGAGCCTGGCTCTGGGGTCCCCTCTGCAGGAGTCCCAGCTCTCGCTGGGGGGCCAGTGCTGTCTGGGGGAGCCTGACGAGGAGCTGGCTGGTGCATTCCCTGTCTTCATCCGGAATGCTGTCCTGGGCCACAAACAGACCAAGAGGGTCAGGGCAGAGCCCTGCCGCAGCACAGATGCAGTGAGTGCGGTTTCCCACAAGGGAAAAGTGTCTGCCTTCTTGCAGGTGGGGCTGGGTGGCCCTAGCCCATTAGGCCAGCCCACTCACCTCTTCCTTCTGCTTTAGGTAAGGATAGGCTTCGATGGACTTGGAGGCCGAACAAAATTCATCCAGCCTGTATCCTTATTTTGTGGTGTTGGGCTGAGCTAAGCTATGGCGCCCACATCATCCCTCACCTGTACCCCAAGGCCCCAGCTTACTGGTGGCTGCAGCCCCAGGTGGGCAGAGCCAGACCTTGCCCCGTGTAGCAGCGCTGCCCACCCCCAAGGCTGAGCCCTGCATTCCAGTCCTCTTTGTAGGCCGTTTCCTTGACATTTTCTTCAGACCGACACAACTATGATCCGCCCACTGCCGGTTAAACCAAAGCCCAAGGCCAGGGCTAGGCAGAAACTGGGGGCCAAGACAGTGCCCACCCCTTCCCAGGCCACGCTGGACAATTTCCTGTGGTAGTGAGAAGAGTGAGTCTGATCAGTGGCCAGATAACATGCCTCTGACTTATAGGCTGAGGACTGGTGACTGGCTTGGCAGAGGGTTTGGCAGGCATGGCCCCTCTTCTAGGACCAGCCCTGTGGACAAGGATAAATAAGAAGATGGGGGTGAAAGTGGGGCCCAGAAACCTGCTTTTCCTACACATAACCTGCCCCACCCCCAATCATACTCGGTCTTCCTGTGGGGGCTGATGTGATCAGCTCAGTGTTCCTGCCGGCAGGACTTGCCCCTTGTTCCAGACTTCCATTTATAGCCACGATCAGATGTGGCTGGGCTACTTCTGATCCTCCGACCAGGGTCTTTTGTTGACTGTAAGCACCAAAGTCTTGAGGCTTCTCAGGCCTCCTCAGCCTGCCCAGGCTTCTGCCTGCCTCTGACTTGCTGTTGGCATGGCCTGGGCCAGGTCCGGCTGGGGATGGGCAATGGTGGTAGGGAGAGGAGGGGGGAGATTTCTATGTGAAATAAAAAAGATATGGTCTTTTCTTCCTGGCTCTGGGAGGGTAAATTTGTACTCACTTCAAAAAACTGACTTGCATGATTTTCTAAAGGGGGGACCTTCACCTAGACCCAGACCCAAAAATTCCACCCTTAGGCATGTGCCCTCTCAAAGGGCAAAAGGAGACTCTAACAAGTGCAACATCACCTAGCTTTGTCCACAGTCTGTAACCTGGGCACAGTGCAAGGCCTTAAGCAGGAGACCAAATGGGTGAACCAGGGTCTAGCCACACAGGGAACTCACAGCAAGAATAACAATTGACCTGTGACAACCCCTTCTTCACCTTTAAACTCTACCAGCCAAATTGCTAGCCTCCGTGGCTTAGCTTCAAGAGCACTTTCTCCCAGAAGCCTGCTCTTTTACGTCCTAACTTGGGTGAGGACTTGGGTTTCCCTAGTGGCTCAGCTGGTAAAGAATCCGCTTTGCAGTGCAGGAGACCCAGGTTCAATCCGTTCAGGAAGATCCCCTGGAGGAACTGGTAACCCACTCCAGTATCCTTGCCTGGAAAATCCCATGGACAGAGGAGTCTGGTGGGCTACAGTCCATGGGGTCGTAAAGAATCGGATACAACTTGAGTATCTGAGCATGTTAGGTGAGGACCCCTAACTTCGGTCTCATTACTGGGTGGGTGTTCACCTGTTTCTGCACATTCCAGCATGGACCTGGCACAAGAGAGAATGCTTCAGACTCAGAGTGCCCGTCTGCTCCCCTGCAGGTGTGGGGGAGCCTGGGGCTTCTTAGGGGGGAAGTGATGCTCTTGGTTATGGAAGTTGGACTCCTTTGGTGCTGCCTGAGCAAAGGATGGTTAGGGAGGGGAAGTGCAGCATCAAAGTAAGGGTGCAATGGCTGGTTACTAGCTTTCTTATAGATTAATAATCAATTAGAATTAAAAACCGAGAAATAAAAAGAAGAAAAAATAATAATAACATTAAAAACCCAGTACCATTTACATTAGCACCAAGAAAGAAAAAGAAAGAAACAAAACATTTAGGTATAAATCTAACAAAATATGTACAAGATCTCTATGAGGGAAAACTACAAAGCTCTAGGTCTGTACGTACAATGGAACATTATTTAGCCTTTAAAAAAAATTCTGAAACGTGCTACAACGTAAGTGAAACTTGAAGACACTAAACTATGTGAAATAATCCAGGGGCAAAGGACAAATTGTGCAGGATTCCATGTGTATGAGATACCAAGAGCAGTCAGATTCACAGAGACAGAAGGTAGAATGATTATTGCCAAGGATGGGGAAGGAGGGAAAGGGAAGTTATTGTCTAATGGGTTGCAAGTTTCAGTTTGAGAAGGTGAAATTCTGGACATGAATGGTGGTGATGGTACAACAACGTGAATGTCTGTAATGCTACTGAACTGTATATTTTAAAACATTAAATGTCATCTTATGTATATTTTCTCACAATAAAAAAAAAAAAAAATTCTGGTACATGCTACAAGCTGGATGAATGTTGTAAAGGTATGCTAAGTGAAAGAAACCAGACACAAAAGGACAAATATTTTATGATTCCACCTATATTATCTTCAGTAGGCAAAATCATGGAGACAAAGTACAATAGAAGCTCCTAGGAAACAGGGGATGGAAGATTGATGAGTTATTTTTTTAATGCGTACAGTGTTTCTTCTTGGGCTAAAGTTGTGGAAATAGTGGTGTGGTTACACAATACTGTGAATGTAGTTCCTGCCACTGAATTGTACATATTTAAAAATGATTCAACCCAGGCAGTCCAGTGGTTAATACTCCGTGCTCCCACTGTAGAGGGCACGGGTCCGATCTCTGCTCAGGGAACTAAGTTCTTGCATGCCATGTGGTGTGGCCAAAATAGAAACAAAAATAAACAGATTAAAAATGAAAATAGTTAAAACCACAATTTTAAAATCCATCTATTTCTATTTTAACGAGAGTGAAAAAAAAAATCAGGATTGGATATTGAATGTCATCAAATGCCTTTTGGTGTCTATTGAAGACACCACTTGAGAATCTGGCCCTGGTTTCTGTACCTAGTACATATGACACATCCAATAAATGTTTATTGAATGAAAAAAAAGAAAAGCAGAATTGCCTACCACTTTACACCCACTAGGATGAGTATAATTTGAAAAAAAAAGGAAAAACCGGTTGGACCATGTTGTGGAGAAATAAAAACGTACATTGCTGGTAGAAAATAGTTTGTTGGTCTGTCAAAAACTTAAACAGAATTGCTATATGACCCAACAATGCTACTCCTAGGTATATACCCAAAGGAATTGAAAACAGGTGCTCAAATACTTGTTCAAGAATGATCACGTAGCACTATTCATAATATTCAAAAAGTGTTAACATTTCAAATGTCAACCAGTGACTGGATAATGTCTTCCCTGGTAGCTCAGCTGGTAAAGAATCCGCCTGCAATGCTGGAGACCTGGGATTGATCCCTGGGTTGGGAAGATCCCCTGGAGAAGGAAATGGCTACCCACTCCAGTATTCTAGCCTGGAGAATTCCATTGACTATATATATGGTCACTGGATAACAAATTGTGATATGTGCCTCCCATAGAATATTAGTCAGCCACAAAAAGGAATGGTGTCCTGAGACATGCTACAATTTGGATTACCCTCAAAAAGATTGTAAGTGACAACAGATCCCAAAGGTCACATTTTGTATGATTCCTTTTATATAAAATATCCAGAATAGGCAAATCCCTAGTGACAGAAAGCATGTATGTTTGCCAGGCGATGGAATGGGGGTGTGTAGCGATTATCCAAGGTAGTTGTGTCTTTCGGTGGGTGAAGGTTTTGAAAGGAGAGAGAGATGGTGATTGCACAGCATTGTCAATACACTAAATCCCACTAAATTGTATACTTTAAAATGGTTATTTTAATGATGTATAGGTTTTACCTTAATGTTTTTTTAAAAATAATTTTTGATAGCACTTGGTTTAACTACTGTGGAGTTTTGTGGGGAACTGTGGTCCATCCTCTATAGAGAACTGGCCCTGGGTTCCTAAGAAGGCAGAAGAAGACATCTGTGGAGAGGGTACCCCCTCTTTTCTATTTTCCACAACTTCCTCTGAATCTATAATTATTTTAAAATATAAAGGACACATGATCATAGCTGCCCCTAGCCTTCCACAGGGCTGGCACACAAAGACTGACAACCCTCTTTGAGTCCTGGGACTCATCAGTGAGAGATCCTGACTGGCCTCCTGGGGCTGCCAACTGTCCCGGCTGGACACTGTGGGCAGAGGGGAATCCCTGATCCCAGAGGAGATGACTCCAGGACATGCAGGCACTCCCAACAAGGCTAGGCTGCACCCCAAGTCTGTAGTTTAAGCCCTGGATGTGGGCAGCATAGCCCACATCTCTCAGCCTTTCAGCCTCTGGGATGGGGCTGGCTCTGCCCTCTGGGGTCTCTAAGCCTCTGTGTGTGGACAGGAGGCCAGGTGAGCCCTCAGGACAAGGGCGTCCCCACTAGTCCTCTGGGCAGGAAGCCCATTCAGACAGGGACCCCTGAAGAGGATAGGAGCTTGCTGTTCGGGACATCTAGGGAGCTACAGGAGACCACAGGGATTCCCTCCCATGGCCCTGCCGTCTTTCTTCCTTAAGAGAAATACCTGCTTTCCCAGAGAGAAACAGATCCAGGAATTCTCTTCCCCACTTGCCAGTGCCTTAGGGCTGCCAGAAGTCTTTGCCAAGCCGAGCTGTGCAGGACAGGCTGGAGGCAGGACCATGAGCCCGCTCAGTTTCACTTTCAGTTTTGCTTTACCCGAAATGACAGAGGAACCAGGAAGAAAGCTGCCAGCTGCATCTTTCACTTCTGAGCCCTAGCGCTGCTGGGCACTGGCTCCTGCTGGCAGTGCTTCCTGTCTACAAACCCTGCAGCCCCAGGCCTCAGGATGGACACCCTGGAGACCTCCAAGTCACTGGATAAGGAGCTGTACTCGCGGCAGCTGTGAGGCTCAAGGTGGGGAGGAGAGCGGGGTAGCTTTCTAACCCCTGATCTCCAATTGCCTGCCCTCTTGTTTCCCACCTACAGGTATGTGCTGGGCTTGCCGGCCATGCAGAGGATTCAGGGAGCCAAGGTGCTGCTGTCTGGTCTGCAGGGCCTGGGGGCTGAGGTGGCCAAAAACTTGGTCCTGATGGGTGTGGGCAGCCTCACTCTCCATGATCCCCACCCTACTTGCTGGTCTGACCTGGCTGCCCAGGTGAGGCTCCTGGGGGGTGCTTTGGGTTTCCAGACCAGGGTGGAGGTGGGGCCCAAGAGAAAACTCCTTGCTAAAGCCAGTCTGGGCATCTCTTTAGTTTCTACTCTCAGAGCAGGACTTGGGAAGGAGCAGGGCTGAGGCCTCTCAAAAACTTCTGGCTGAGCTCAATGGAGCCATTCAGGTGTGCGTCTACACAGGCGACATCACCGAGGACTTACTGCTGGATTTCCAGGTGCCCTCCCAGCCCTACTCTCCAGGCCAACCTCCCCCATCCCCAGGGGGTGGGCTCAAAGTGGTTCTGGCCCTACTGATCTCATGGGGTCCACTCAGGTGGTGGTGCTGACTGCCTCGAGGCTGGAGGAGCAGCTGAGAGTGGGCACCTTTTGCCACAAGCATGGAGTCTGCTTCCTGGTGGCGGACACCCGAGGCCTCGTGGGGTGAGATGGCTCGCCCAGCCTGCCACCTCACAGGCAGTGACCGATCCCAGTTCCAGGGCTTGCTCCAGAGCCCTTCCAGCCAACCCCAGGGCTGTCCCCACTTTCCCCTCTTGATCACAGTCCTCAGTTCCATGCGTCTGCTTCCTCTACCCCAGCCTCCAGACTTGCTCAGTACATCTTTCAAACTCCAGTTTCCAAGCCTCTCTGAGCACTCTTTTCCCAATTCCTCGGGGCTTGCCCTAGTGCCTGTTGCCCTTCACCACAAGCGTGGCGGTTAAACACAGCCAGCTCAGTGACCCCTGCCACCCCGCCACAGGCAGTTGTTCTGTGACTTCGGTAAGAACTTCACTGTGCAGGACCCCACGGAGGCAGAACCCCTGACAGCCGCCATCCAGCACATCTCCCAGGTGGGTGCTGGTGGCGGGGGGGCACTACCCCTTAGTAGGGGAGTAGTGAAACGGGGAGCCTGTGAAATGCAGGGCTAGGCCCTGAGCAGGTTGCCTCTCCTCACAGGGCTCCCCTGGCATTCTCACTCTGAGAGAAGAGGCTGATGCCCACCACTTCCACACAGGGGATTGGGTGACTTTCTCAGGCATTGAGGGCATGGTAGAGCTCAACGGCTGTGATCCTCGGCCTCTCTACGTGCGGGGTAAGTCAACCCCACTCCAGGCTTAGCACCCAGGCCCCCGTGGGGGTGGAGACAGCCTGGTTTTTGGAGATAAGGCCTCTCTCTATCTTCCTCAGGGCAGAGCCACACTGAGAATTTTAATTATTTATTTGGCTGCCTTGGGTCTTAGTGGCAGCATGTGGGGTCTTCCATGGCTCTAGCTGTGGCCTACAGGCTTAGTTGCTCTTGGCATTTGGGATCTTATTTCCAGACCAGGGATTGAACCTACGTCCCCTGCATCACAAGGCAGATTCTTAACTAACTGGACCACCAGAGAAGTCCCACCTTGAGAATGCTGAGGCAAGACAGGATGGGCTGTGGGGAGCTACTCAGGTTCAGAGGTCATGCTGACTAGGCTCAATCTCCCCCCAGAGGATGGGACCTTGGAGATTGGAGACACAACAGCTTTCTCTCCTTACTTACGTGGCGGGGCTGTCACTGAGGTCAAGAGAGCCAAGACTGTCAGCCACGTGAGTGCAAGGTCATCTGGGGTTGGGTGCCTCAAGGGGCCCATAGGGTTCTGGACCTGACCCTAAACTGAGTGCCCTCTGCAGGAACCCTTGGACGCAGCCCTCCTTCAGCCCCGTGTGGTGGCCCAGAGTCCCCAGGAAGTTCACCGTGCCCGCTGCCTGCATCAGTCCTTCCGCGCACTGCACAAGTTCCAGCAGCTCCATGACCGCCCTCCCAAGCCTTGGGATCCTGTGAGTGGCCCTGATGCCCTTCTCCCTAGCCTCTGTCTTAATGGGGCTTCACCTACCAGGAGGTGACAGTGACTATCTTACGGATCCAAGTTTGAATCCAGAAGCAGTGTCCCACTCATATAAAGAAGACAGGATGGGCTGTGGGGAGCTGATAAATAAACACTTATCTCTAGACCAGCTGTTCTAAGTTGCTTAGTCGTGTCTGACTCTTTGTGACCCCATGGACTATAGTCCGCCAGGCTCCTTCGTCCATAGGGATTCTCCAGGCAAGAATCCTGGAGTGGGTTGCCATGCCCTCCTCCAGGGGATCTTCCCAACCCAGGGATCAAACCCAGGTCTCCTGCATTGTAGGCAGACTCTTTACCATCTGAGCCAGCAGGGAAGCCCAAGACCAGAGGCTGAGTTCATGAAGGGGCCAAGCACAAAGCCTGGGGACTTATGCTGCTCCTCCCCACTCAGATCTTGCCTGGAAGCTGCTCCCAGGTTGGGGGAGCCTCCAGGGCCATTGTCTGGCACCAGGCATCATCTAGTGGGGCCTTCCCACTCAGGCTTCTGCTTCCTCTTCTGTGGAACAGGCGGGGGATGGCTGCCTGAAGGATTCAGATGTGGGGTGGAGCTCAGGCTGGGGCTGCTTGAACAGAATTCTACCTGCTAGGTTGATGCAGAGATGGTGGTGGACCTGGCCCAGGCCATGGGACCACTGAAGGGGACAGAAGGCAAGCCTCTGGAAGAGCAGCTGGATGAGGCTCTGGTGCGGACAGTTGCCCTGAGCAGTGCTGGTGGCTTGAGCCCCATGGCAGCTGTGCTGGGTGCAGTGGCTGCCCAGGAAGTGCTGAAGGTAGGTACAGGCAGAGACAGGGAGGGCTGGGAAAGGTGCAGAGGTCACTGTGGGTGCCACAGGGTGCCCAACACTAGACAGCAGCCTTGAGAGCTTCACCAACCTGGGTGCAGCCCTCAGCCAGGATCTCAGGGGATTAGGAGGTGCCAAGAGTCCCCAGACTAAAGCTCTGACTTACAGGCGATCTCCGGAAAGTTTATGCCCCTGGACCAGTGGCTGTACTTCGATGCCCTGGATTGCCTTCCAGAAGATGGGGACCCCTTTCCCAACCCTGAGGACTGTGCACCGGTGAGAACCTGGGGTAGGGACGCAAGCCTTAGCTAAACTCAGGACTCAGGGAGAAACATGAAGAATGGTCCTGAGGTCCTGACCTGGAAAACTGGGTGTGAGAGGGAGACCCAGCACCCGCTGGCGGTCGTCACCGAGTCCTGTCTGTGTTCCCTAGAGACGCTGCCGCTATGATGGGCAAACCGCAGTGTTCGGGGCCGATTTTCAGGAGAAGCTGAGCCACCAGCGCTACTTCCTGGTGAGCCATGTGGTGAGGTCGGGAGTGTGCGGAGGGGTGAAGCCTGGCCCTCTGGCTAAGGTTGCTCCTGCCTGCCGGCAGGTGGGTGCTGGCGCTGTCGGCTGCGAGCTGCTCAAAGGCTTTGCCCTGATGGGCCTGGGGGCCGGGGGCCGTGGGGGCGTGACCGTTGCCGACATGGACCACGTGGAGCTCTCCAACCTCAGCCGGCAGTTCCTCTTCAGGTCCCAGGACGTTCATGTGAGTGCCGACCCTTCTGCACACCCGCGTCCTGGACTGTCCCCCCACTACCCGCCTGCCCCCACCCCCAGCGCCTTCCTGCTTCTTCTCAGAGGCAAAAGGCAGAGGTGGCCGCAGAGGCCGCTCGCCGCCTGAACGCAGACTTGCGGGTTACCCCGCTCAACCTCCCGCTGCATCCCAGCACAGAGGACATCTTTGGGGACGACTTCTTCTCCAGGGTGGACGGCGTGGCTGCTGCCCTGGACACTTTCGAGGCCCGTGAGTGCCCAGCCTCAGAACTCACTCTTGTCCGAGGCTGTGCCCGCCCCACTTCTGACCCTCTGTCTCCCTTGCCAGGGGACTACGTAGCTGCTCGCTGCACCCACTTTCTGAAACCACTGCTGGAGGCAGGCACCACGGGCACCCGGGGCAGCACCGGTGTGTTCATACCGCACGTGACGGAGAACTACAGAGCCCCCTCCTCCGATGCAGCTTCTGAAGATGCCCCCGACCCTGTCTGCACCGTGCGGTACATTCCCACCACAACCGAGCACACTGTGCAGGTGGGAGGCACCCCAGAGACTCCTGCCTACCTGGCTCAGTCCTCTGCCCCAGACCCACCTCCTAACTGGCCCCTCATGGTTCCTCCCTCCCCCACAGTGGGCCAAGGGTGAGTTTGACGACCTTTTCTGTGAGTCTGCCAAGACCATCAACAGCAACCCAGAGTAAGACCCCCGACACGGGCATATGGGAGTCCAGGGTCCCTAACACCAAGAGGCTCAGGGCTTGGCCTCAAGCTTTCCCAACCGTCCACAGAGCACTCTCGTCTCCGGAAGACTTGGTTAAGTCACAGAAGCAGCCCCTGCTGCAGACAATGCGGGGTGTCCTGACGGAGCGTCCGCAGACCTGGCGAGACTGCGTGCTGTGGGCCCTTGGCCACTGGCAGCTCCGCTTCCATCATGGCATCACACAGCTGCTGAGGACCTACCCACCTGACAGAGTGGGTGCCTGGGGGCTGGGAGGCTGAGGGCTTGGGGGCGACCGGCTGGAGACCGGCAGCCTCTGTGTTTCCCTAGGTGCAGGAGGATGGAGCTCCATTCTGGTCGGGTCCCAAACAGTGTCCTCAGCCCTTGGAGTTTGATTCCAGCCAAGTGAGTGGGGTCCCTTGGCAGCCCTGAGATGGAAATGCGGCCCCTCAGGGCACAGGTGGGCACCTCTGTGTTTTGTAGCGATGCCGAGATGCTGAGAGGGAGACAGCCATGTCTGTGCACATGTGGGTGTCCACATGGGAGGCAGGCCCTCCAACAGATCTTCAAGTGGGCGATGACCCCTGCCCCACACACCCACACACGCTCACTCAGGCCCATGCAGCCACCCCTGCTCTGGGTCTCATTGCAGGATACTCACCTCCTTTATGTGCTGGCAGCTGCCAACCTATATGCCCAGATGCATGGGCTGCCTGGCTCACAGGACCAGACTGCGCTCAGGGGACTACTGAATTTGCTGCCACAGCCTGACCCCCAGAACTTGGACCGCATTTTTGCTAGTGAGCTGGAGCTGGATTCACCTTCTGGTGAGTTTGGTGAGGTCCCCAGCCTTGACCCCTCTATGCTGCCACCCAAAGGCCTGAGCTTCCTCAGCCTGTGCTGCAGAAAGAAGATGGGTCTGGGGGCCCTGAAGTCAAGTCACAACCTATCAGGCCCTCTGACCTTGCTCTTCTCTAGCCTTGGGTTCATCCCCTGGTCCCAGAGTAGGTCCTCTCTCTCCTATTTACCATCCTCCCCACCCCATTCCCTTGGCCAACTCTCAGCAAAGGAAAAAAACCCACAAACCACTGGGCCCTGGGGAGCAATGAGGTGTGGCACCCCAGATGAGGACAGGGTCACACAGGTGTGCATGTGTGTCTGCAGGCACACATACATGAGGGCTGGGGCTGCCAGAGAAGAGATTGCACCATCCATCAAGGGGTCTCCCTGAAAGTGGTAAGTGATAGACTTGGCTGGGACCAAGGATAGGCAGGCAGGCTCAAGAAGAGTATAGGACTCGGAAGGCTAAGGACTGCTTCAACCCTTCTCCTCCTCCTTCCAACAGGCTGTAAGCAACTGCATGAAGACCTGAAGACCTGGAGGAAGGGCCCTCCCCTTGAACCCTTGACATTTGAGAAGGTCAGAACCCAAGCGGGAGTGAAGGGCTGGGCCAGAGAGGCTGATGAGGAAGGTCAAGAGCTAAGTAGGTACCTTTGAAGTGGGCCTGAGTTTTCCTCCCTGAAGGAGCCCAGAAGCAGCTCAGCTTCCCTGAGCCTCCGTCTCCTTACCTGTTAAGTGGGGCGATTTGAGCCTCCAGCCCACAGATTCATGTGAAGACCTGTGCAGTGGCATGGGTTTGGGGCACTGGGACAGTGTTCACATGACTGTGTCTTGGGTCTCACAGGACAATGACAGCAACTTCCACGTGGATTTCGTGGTGGCAGCGGCCAGCCTGAGAGCTCAGAACTATGGGATCCCAGCGGCTGGCCATGCCGAGGTAACCTGCCTCTTGGGGCTTAGGCCTGGAGGTGGTGGGTCAAACCCTAGCCTTAGGCCTTGGGCCCAGATCAGATCTCCTGTCCTTGGCAGATCAAGCGAATTGTGGGCCGGATTATCCCAGCCGTTGTCACCACTACAGCAGCCGTGGCTGGCCTGGTAGGCCTGGAGCTGTACAAGGTGGTGGGCGGACCACGGCCCCTCCATGCCTTTCGCCACAGCTATCTGCGCCTGGCTGAAAACTACTTTAGCCGCTGGGTACCTAAGGCCCCAGACATCCAGGAGGTGAGCCCTGGACACCCCACCTGTACCAGACCTGAGTTTTGCCTGCACCTACCCAAACAGGCCCTATTCCAGCTTCAGGCTCTCGTAGGACCGACTCTAGGGGAGTCCTCAAGACTTCCTTCAGCCGCCTTCCTGCTTCACAGCCAGGCTGGGACCTGTCAGACACAGGAAGCAGCCGTCAGCCACCCCCAACCCCCAACCCTCCGGGTCTGGGGGAGCTGCAGCTTTAACTCATTAGTGGAGCCAGACATCCATCCCCCACCGTCCCCTCCTTCCCTGAGGGGGAGGGGGAACTAGGGCCCAAGCCCTAAACAGAGCCTAACGTCAGGCTGCCAGGCATGGGGATCCTCGCCCGCCCCCCTCAACTGAGTTAAAGGGCACTGAGATCACCAGCATGGGTGTGGGGGTGTGCAACCCGGTCACAGGGTGTGCATTGCTGTCACAAGTGTGACGGCACCCGGGTCTGGGCATCCCTGGCCTCGTGGTGTGTGGCCATGGAGGGAGCACGCTTGCACATCTGTGTGCCAGAGGAGACTGCAGGGCCCTTGCCCAATGTGGGCCTGCATGGCTCTGCCTGTGAGTACACATGTGGGCTGTGTGCATGTGTGTTCTCTTCAAGTGTGGGGCTGTGAATGCCCCGGCTGTGTGCCCAGGCTCTGCAAAAGTTGGCGTTTCCTTAGGGGGCCCAGGAGAGGGTCTGGAGAGAATTCTCTCACCAGAGCAGAGGGGAGAGGTCATGGGCCGGCACTGGGCTTAGGCTGAGCAGCCCTGGGGTCCCTCAGGGCACAGCACACAGAGCCCTTTTGTGAGGGCCCCTCCTCTAGCTAGAACACAAGCTGCCTTTGTCCATGGAGGAGGGGGAAGGGTCCCCCACATCACTTCTGGTCCTGTCTCAGCTCGACCTCACTGTGTTTTCTGGGGAGGTGGCAGAACCCCTCTAGTCTTGGTCCCTGGCTGCCTGCCACCCTTATGCCCTCAGTTCTGGGTACCAGAACCCCAAGACTTAAGAAGCAAGGAACAAAGGGACAGGAAGAGAGTCCTCTGTGGACTGTGTCCCTGCTGGAGTCACTGTGCCCCTCACCCATGTGTCTGTGAGAAAGTCCAAGGTCCTGGTGGTAAAGGATTAGGGGACCGGATGTACCCGCCCCCCACCCTCTCTTCCAGCCTTGCATTTGAGGAATAGGCAGCTTTATCAGAGATTGCAGCAGCCCTGCTCCTGCTTCCTCACTTCCTCAGGAAGCATTGCCCCCCCTCCAACACACACACATACACACACACACACACACTCACACACACACACAATCAGCCTGTGTGATGGATCGCCTGTTTCCCTGTGCGGGGGGCCCCATAGCCCCATTTCCTGTCCCAGCACAGGCAGGGAGGGTGTTGAGATTCTGGGCCCAGATCCCACCTTCCATCCCCACCCCCTGGCTTCTGCTTCCTGCCTCTAGTCCAGCTCCTCCCCTAGGAAAGGGGCCATAAGCTATTGGCAACTGGGGTGGGGAGAGGGTGTGTGTGTGTAAAACGCTTCTGACTCCTCCCCACTGCCACCCCCCAGTTCCATCACCTGAAGTGGACCTGTTGGGACCGCCTGGAAGTGCCTGCTGGGCAGCCCGAGAGAACCCTGGGGTCGTTGCTGGCCCTCATCCAGGTGTGCTCCAGTTCTGCCCTGCTCCCAGGCCTGGCTCCGCCTGGCCCTGCTGGCCCCTGACCTGTCTCTGTCTAGGAGCTCCAAGGACTGAGAGTGACGATGCTCCTGCATGGGTCGGCCCTGCTCTACTCAGCAGGATGGTCTGAGGAAAAACAGGCCCGGCACCTGTCTCACAGGTGAGCCCGCACCTGGCTTTAACCAGGCCCTGGAGGTTGGAGGTGAGGGACGCGCAGCATCTCCTCCTCCCAACCCCATTTGGGCCCCTCACACCTTCCTGAAGTTTTCTTTTGCCAAATGGAGCCAGCAAACGGGCTGGGGGTGGGGTGAGGGCCAGGAGCCCTCTAGGAGGGGCCTCTAGGAGCTGCCTGCTTGGCCAGCCCCACCAGCTCCTCCACACCCTCCTCAGCTCCCCTTTCACGGCCCACTCCCAGGGGACTCACGGCTTCCTGCCTCCTGCTTGCCCCGCCAGCCGCTCCTAAAATAGTTTTCAGATGTTTCCTGTCTTGGGCTGCTCCTGCTCCTGGCTTGGGCTCCTTATGGCCCCCCAGCACCCTGGAGCCCATGCCAGGACACTTTCTGCCTGTCATGGCTCACCTACCCAATCTCCCCACCTCTCTCCCCCTACGCCACCAGGGTGACAGATCTGGTGAAGAAGGCGCCTGGGCAACGAGTGCTGGTATTGGAAGTTGGCTACGAGGGTGAGGAGTATGACACTAACTTTCCACGCTTGCACTACAAGCTGTGACAAGGCAGGAGCCCCACCACCCAGCTCCATCGAGCCCTACGTCCCGAGCCCTGCATCCCAAGCCCACAGTAGGCACTCAATAAATGCTTGTTGAAGGAAGGTGTTCAGTGGACAGGACAGGTGATGGAGCAGACACATGGCGTGTGACACAGGCATGACAAGGACTCCTGCAGGGAGGGAAAAGGCTCTTTCGATTTGCCTGCCTGAATCGTGCCTTGCAGGGCTGGCGCTGCCTCCTGGAGCCTCGGGGGGTACGGAACCAGGACTGTCCAGAGAAAGGCCTTTATTGTCCCAGGCTGGAGGGCAGGGTCAGAGGTAGCTGACAACATCATTGCAAATGATGGGCTGCCGACTGCGGCAACTCATGAGGGCTGCAAAGCGTGAGACATCTGTAGGTAGTTCAGGTTCCGGGCGAGGTGGGCATGACAGTCGCTTTCCTGCCAGCGCTGCCCGGCGCGCCCTGGCCAGCTGGCGCCGCAGCTGCTCAGAGAGGCCCAGCAGGAACTGGGGGGGCCGAGCACGGGCACGGGGCACACCCCCATCGTCCCCCTCACCTGCTGCCTCGGGCAGCTCCATCCAGTTGTGCACCAAGTCCGCAAAGCAGTTGTCCCCCAGCACCAGGGGCTGGCGACTACGACCCCTGCTCAGCAGGGCCGTGGTCCAGTCCTCGGCTTCCAGCCCCCGCCAGTGTTCCAGGCAGGCGTCTGGGGTGGACTTGGGCCGTGGTCGGTGGACAGGTGGTACCCGGGCCACAGGCGCTCCGCCGGGCTGGGCGACACCACTGGTTGAGAGGCGCTGTCTTCGGGGGGGCCACGCCGAGGGTGCTGGGTGCTGGGGTATGGGCAGCTCTTCCTCTCTCCATGTGCTGCCCGACACCTCTGAGAACCCGGAGTCCCAGTCCAGGCCATGCTCCCTGGGGCCCCCCAAGGCTGCACTCCTGTCTCCTGTCACCCCAACTTCTTCCTCCTCTTCCTCCACACCACAGACCGAGTCTTCTTCCAATGCATCTGAGGCCCTGAGCTGGTGCTTGAGCCGCACGCCTGGGCGGTGTTTGGGGGGTGGCGGAAGGGGACCAGGCATTGGGGGTGAGCTGGAGTCCCGGCCACACAGCTGTGGAAGAAGAGAGGGCAGAAGTGGTAGGAGCAGTGCTGGTCACTCCGGCCTCCCGGGTCAGGCCAGTTCCAAAACAGAAGGCCCAGGAGGGCTGGACAGGCCTGCAGGCCTCAGCAGCAAGGCCTCTAGCGGGCACCGGGCCGGCGTGGGGCGCTGGCACACGAAGCTCGTGTGGCTCCCATCGGCCGACCTGGTGGCAGTCCGGCAGGCTGCAGCATGCAGAGCTGGGCAAGTTGGTACCCGCCACCAGGGCGGGAGGCAGGGTTGTGGGCCTGCATGGCTCTGCCTGTGAGTACACATGTGGGCTGTGTGCATGTGTGTTCTCTTCAAGTGTGGGGCTGTGAATGCCCCGGCTGTGTGCCCAGGCTCTGCAAAAGTTGGCGTTTCCTTAGGGGGCCCAGGAGAGGGTCTGGAGAGAATTCTCTCACCAGAGCAGAGGGGAGAGGTCATGGGCCGGCACTGGGCTTAGGCTGAGCAGCCCTGGGGTCCCTCAGGGCACAGCACACAGAGCCCTTTTGTGAGGGCCCCTCCTCTAGCTAGAACACAAGCTGCCTTTGTCCATGGAGGAGGGGGAAGGGTCCCCCACATCACTTCTGGTCCTGTCTCAGCTCGACCTCACTGTGTTTTCTGGGGAGGTGGCAGAACCCCTCTAGTCTTGGTCCCTGGCTGCCTGCCACCCTTATGCCCTCAGTTCTGGGTACCAGAACCCCAAGACTTAAGAAGCAAGGAACAAAGGGACAGGAAGAGAGTCCTCTGTGGACTGTGTCCCTGCTGGAGTCACTGTGCCCCTCACCCATGTGTCTGTGAGAAAGTCCAAGGTCCTGGTGGTAAAGGATTAGGGGACCGGATGTACCCGCCCCCCACCCTCTCTTCCAGCCTTGCATTTGAGGAATAGGCAGCTTTATCAGAGATTGCAGCAGCCCTGCTCCTGCTTCCTCACTTCCTCAGGAAGCATTGCCCCCCCTCCAACACACACACATACACACACACACACACACTCACACACACACACAATCAGCCTGTGTGATGGATCGCCTGTTTCCCTGTGCGGGGGGCCCCATAGCCCCATTTCCTGTCCCAGCACAGGCAGGGAGGGTGTTGAGATTCTGGGCCCAGATCCCACCTTCCATCCCCACCCCCTGGCTTCTGCTTCCTGCCTCTAGTCCAGCTCCTCCCCTAGGAAAGGGGCCATAAGCTATTGGCAACTGGGGTGGGGAGAGGGTGTGTGTGTGTAGGGGGGGGGGGCATCCTGTACCTCTTGAGGGATTCAGCTCCCCAAAGCCCGCAGCCTCTTTCAGAGAAGAAAAGAGCACTTTCCAGGAAAGACAAGAGGTACAGGCCAGCCTGGAATAAGGGGCATCGGTAGTAGCGCCACCACCTCTTTAGTTCCTTAAAACCCCCTGCTCCGCCCCACAAGAAGTTTCTCCCCCTCCCAACTTCCTCCGCTGCGCCGGCAGCACGGCCAGCTGGACGGCTGTTACTTGATGCCCAGGGCAGCTCCCAATCGTCCGAAACCCGACGCGGGCCATCTGGGCCATCTACGCCGCCCCGCCCCCATCCTGTCTTGGATGGGCACTCGGGACAGCTCCCCCCCATCCGAGTGTCGTTCGGGTAGGAAGGCAGCCGAGCACCCTACACACGTCCTCACGAGCCACGCCCGCCCCCAAGCCTCACCAGTTCCCAGCGCAGTTGGCCCAGGAAACTGTCAAGCCGAGCGCTGTGCATGTCCGTGCCGCAGCCCCCTCCAGGCCTGCCAGTTCCTCTTCGAACTCCGGCGAGAGCCGTGCGGAGAGGGCCCGGCGGGCCGGCCAGCGGCGCCCTTGCCCTCCGCCTGGCTCCACGGCTCCTCCCTCTCCCCAGCTCTTGCCGCCGCCGCAGCCGCCGCCCCAACATCTGGCGGCCCCGCCCCGCCCCTGGCGCCGCAGCCAATGGGGCTGGGGCGGGGCTGGTGTGGCTCCACCCCCGGGGCCCTGCCGGGTGGGAGAATCTGACGCCCACTACCCACTCGCTAGAAGCAGCTCTTCTGGGGAAGGGCGGGACTGTAGCTGGAAAGCCGGCGAGATCCGGACCGGTACTCCCCGAAGTCCCGGGCCGTTGAGCTGACTCCCAGGACAAGTCGCACCCCTGCGGTAGCCTCAGTTTCCCATTTTTCACAGGGGACAGTTGTGGTCCCTCCCGCAGGGGTCCCTGGAGGGCACGGGTACCGCGGCTGCGCCCTTGAGCGGGTAGATCGGGCCCAATCGTCGGGTTCGGCAGTGCTATGGCCCACTCGTGGTCCGACCCACTGAATCCGCTCCTGAAGCCGGCCTCCACAGTCCCTGGAAGTCATGGGAGGGGTCCGGCCCCTCTGAGGACTCAGGGAGCGCAGAACCTCGCTGCAGCACCGGGGAGAAGCCCCGGCCAAGGCCCAACCTTCCACTCCCTATCTCTCACCTCTGCCGAGCTAAGCAGGGCTGCCCTCTCGTGGGGATTCCCAATACCCGCATCCTGTCTAAAGGCGGACCACAGGCAGGCTGAGTGAATGCAGGGAGTTACCGCGGGGGGTTCTTTGACCAAAGGATTAGAGCCCGTTCCCTGCTGTGGCTAGGCCTAGGTTCAAGGACACAGACTAACTGGAGACAAACTAGATAAGTCAGTAGAGAGGAAAATACAGGGAAGGCCTAGATATTTCTGATGGTGGTAGTTGGGGGGGACTGAAGAAGTCAGCAAAACCAGGCTCCTAGCAGTTTTAGAAGGGAATAAAGGGTTTTGTTCTTGGTGTGGTAGGGAGCTCTAGGGGGCTTTTGAGCAGGGAATGACCTGGGTTGGCTGCTGTTTAGATAACCGCTGCTTTGGGAGAACCACTCTGTAGTCAGAGCGGAGGCTCCTGCCTCATCCATCAAGGGAAGGGAGGGCCTGGATCTGGGTAGGTCTAGTACAAACATACCTCAACATACTTTGAAGTATGTTTTGGAGTTAAAATCAAGCTTGCTGATACATGAGTATGGGAAGACAAAGAGAAGCATGAAGCATGACTCCTAGACTTCCGGGCTGAACTACTGATTGGATGGCCTTGGCACAAATCAACCAAGCAAGAATGGAAAAGAGTGGTCTTGGAGAAGAAAATCAAATGGTCATTTGTGGACATGTGGACAGAGGATGGCAGCAGACAGGAATGAACCCTGGAACACTCCACTGGGTGGAGGTAGGGAAGATGAAGAACCAGCAAAGGAGCTGAGCAGGAGCTGCCAGGGAGGTGGGAGGCAACTAAGAGAGCCGGGGCACTTAGGAGCCAAGGGGAGCAAGCATCAGACGCGTGCCGAGGAGATGAGAACAGAGCGTAAACTGCTGGACGGTTGGCAGGTCTCTGAGGACCCTGACAAGGGCACTTTCATGGGGAGAGGAACGAGCTCAAACATAGTGGGTAGAAAAGAGAGAGGTGAAGAGCTGGAGAAAGCGTGTGAAGACAACCTTTTAAAAACTGGCATGTAATGTAAATAAGATGAATGAACAGCTCTTTAACGGTATGGCTCTATACATGTTAAAATCTGTAGACACCTGTGTCACCCAGATCAAGATATAGAATATCACCAGCCACTCCAGGAGGCCACCTTTTGTCCCCTCCAATTGCTATGCCCCAAAGTAACCACCATTTTTATTTCTATCACCAAGGATACCTTTTGTCTGTTGAATGTAGACAGATTTTGAGAGATTTTGTTGATGGTTGGGCTCAGATTTCACAGGCAGATAATGTTCTAATGGGGGTGAGCAGCTGGAGTTCGGGTTTTGTGGGGTAGAAGGCCTTGGGCCCACTTTTCCTGGCAAAGTGGCTGCTGCGGGTACTCTGTCTCCAAGAACTGCATGACCAAGACTTCCTGGAGCCTTAGTTTCCCTATCTGAAGCTTGGTCTCTCTCCCCTCACATCTCCTTCAAGTGGTAGTGATAAACAGGGAAATCCACTGGGAGCAGTGAAAAAATGGAGTTTTCCAGGTCTCTTGATAACCTATAGTGTCCAGAGCTCAGTCACCAAGGGCTGGGTGGGGCTAGAATCTTGGAGGCCAAGGAGTCCTGTGTTTGAACAACAGACCTGGCAACAGGGTGGCCCTGACAAAACACGTCTGCCCTTCTGGAGTCTCCTCTGCTGTCGTATCTTCAGGCCACTATGGTGCTGCTCAGGCCCCTGGTGCTTCTTCTTGCTTTGGTTGTCTCTGGTGAGGAGCTGGTGGGTGGGGGAACTTCACGTCTCACCCCCTGAGTCCACAGTGGAGTCCCACTCCCTCTCAGATAAGCTACCATAGAGGACAGGGGCTAGGGGGAGCCAGGAAAGGGCAAAGATCCGAACCCCTGACTCTCATTCCTTATCTTAGCTGCTTCCTCGCCCAAGTTCCCACTGTCCCCCTACCCTGGGGACAGTGGGAAAGACAAGACCTAGCCCCAGTCTGTGAAATGAACCAATCCGTGGTTGGATGTGGGGGACAAGGGAAGACTTTGGCTGCTTGTCTCCAAGATGTGGCCAGGCCCCAAGGCAGAAGGGAAGGACTCTGTGTACCTGGTTCTATGAGCATGGGGGTCTCTAGCCTGAATCGTCTCTTCTTCACAGACCTCTACTGCCTGTCCTGGTTCGTAGATGTCTCTGAGAGCCAGGGACCTGGTGCCATCCTCCAGTCTTTCTCCCTCAACTGCTCTTCAAACATACCAACCCTGGAGTTGCTCCGTGTACAGCCACCCACCACCTTCTTTAACCCACCTAGCCTGACCAGGTGGCAGGGGATCTATGTGGGCAAGGTAGGATCATGGGCACAGCTGGGGACAGTGGGGGAAGGGCAGACTCTAAATTCACAAAGTCAGAGGTGGTGTGAAAGTGAACTTGTTAGTCGCTCAGTCATGTCTGACTCTGCAACCCCATGGACTGTAGCCTGCCAGGCTCTTCTGTCCATGGAATTCTTGTCCTCTTGTCCAGGCAAGAATACTGGAGTGGGTTGCCATTCCCTTCTCCAGGGATCTTCCTGACCCAGGGATCGAACCTGGATCTCCTGCACTGCAGGCAGATTCTTTACCGTCTGAGCCACCAGGGAAGCCCCTAGAGGTGGTGCTGGGGGATGGAGATCCTCAGCCCCACATGGCACTGCCCACCTGCCACAGATGACCTTGAGCAGCTCGGCCCGGCTGGATGCCCTGACAGTGAACCACTATGAGCTGCAGCTGAAGTACACATGTGGGAGCCAAGTGACGGAGGGTCGGCTTTCTGTGAATGTTCAGCGGGACCCTAATCGTGACCAGTGTGCTGGTCGATTTGCCAGCCCGGGTAAGGCTAGAGTCAGCAGGCGGGAGTTGGGGGGGGGGGGCACGGTGGGCAGGCATGGCCTGAACTTCCTTGACCTCCCCTCTGGCCAGCTGGGGAAATTATTCAGGTTCGAGAAACTGTCACGCCTGGGACCCCGCTGTACACTCTGCTGCTCCCAGGCCAGGGAGCCCAGGTGAGGCCTGCATGTGGGCAGTGGTGGGGGTGGGGGTAGGATGGAGGGGGATGGGAAGACCAAGGCCAGCCCCTGCCTGGCCAAGAATAGTCTGCAGAAGGACTCTTTAGTCTATAGCTGGGCCTCTGCAGGATGCATGTTCTTGGAGAGAGCCACCGAGGGCTTCCCAACCCCCAGTGACTATGGCTGTTCCCATAGGGACTTCTCAGGGGTTGAGTTCTTTAAAGTTCTTCTGTGTTCTAAATTCTCCAAAAAAAAATTCTATCATTTTTGCAATCCCCCAAAGAAATGTAGTTTAAAAACTGAGTAGTTTAAAAGCAGAGATGATTTTGGATCAGGGCCGGGGGAGCCCAGGCTAGAGTAAGTAGCAGTGGCAGAGTACAGGAGATTTGAGAGTGGGCAGATACCTGTTGGGTTCTTGGGGGATTTGACAGGGTTGCTTGGGGGCACTGTGGTAGAGAAGGGGGCCTCCAGCATCTCTTTCCTGTCAGACGAACATCACCAGTGCCCAGGACCCTCCGTACTTCCCTGGACCTTTCTCCATCGATGGGCAGGGTCAGCTGTGGGCGCCATCCCAGGGACTCAAAGGCCAAGCTCAAAAGGTGAGCACGGCTGGGGACCTGGCGATATCCATGAACCAGGCATAAAATGGACAGAGCCATCACCTCATGGAGGATTGTTTGTTCCTGGCCTCGTCAATCATCTGCCTTTCCCAGACATAGCCCATACCTGCTGCCCGATGATGGCTGCCCTCCCGCCTTGGCTGGGTTCTGTGCTGGGCTCTGGAGCTCTAGAAAGAAGAGGGATCCCTGGCTCCAGGAGCCCACAGTGCCCTTTACAGAAAGGAGAAAGTTCTGAGCAGTCACACAGGAAGTGAAAACTCTGAGTACAGCAGCAAGTGCAGTCTGAAGGAGACTAGAGAAGTTCCTTCTTTAAAGCTTCCACATCTGAGTGACTGGCTCTTGGCAACTCTACCATGCTAATTCATGTTGTGAATGATTCAGATATTACTCATTTGGGGGCTGTGTGCATCCAAAGAGAAGGACTTATGACCCAGAAGAGTAAGACAGGAAGGAATATCTGTCAGCAGAGTGACAGGTCATGGAGCGGAGTGAGTGTGGGGCTCCTTATGGAGGTCCTGAGGGGGGCTGGGCACACACATGTGGGTAAACACACATCGTAGTTCCCTTCTTGTTTTGTGTGCATGACAGGTCTTCCAGCTTCAGATCCTGGTGACCTTTGGACAAGGCCGAAGCTGCCATGGGATGCTGACGGTGAAAGTTTTGCCTGCTCCCTCCAGCCGGGTTTCTTTCCCGTAAGGCTCCCCTACCCTGGGGACAGTGGGAAAGACAGGACCCAGCCCCAGGAACTCGGGAGAAGGGTTAAGGTGTAGGGCTGCAGGAGCATCCCCAGCTGGCTGCTGTACCAGGGAAGACCCGAGAGAGGAGCCTGCAGACCTTGCCGGGAGCAGGTAGGAGCCAGTGCTCCCATTTTGGTCCAGGCAGCAAGCCCAGAACATCACCATTTCCGAAAACCTGGTTCCCGGAAGTAAGGTGGCTCAGGTCCACGCCCGGGGCTTCGACGTGCGCTACGAAATCGTCTCCCCGATGCCCTGCCGGCTCTTCTCCATCGGACGCGGTGAGGGGCGTGGAGGGCGGGTAAGGGAGTGCCTCTGCGGCTGGTCTAGAAGTGACCCGCAACGCCTGGAGCTGAGGCAGAATCTGGGGCGAGGTCGCGTCTGGGGGCCTGGAGTTAGAAACGAGCCTTGGAGGCGGCGGCCAGGTGGTCAGTCCTGAGAGGTGGGCGTGGAGAGGTGGGAGGGTGGGAACGGGACTGACCTGGGGGCGGGGCCGAACTCTGCGTCCCGCGCCCTGCCACCCCGCCCAGTCGACGGCGTGGTCCGGACCACCGCGCCCCTGGAGCTGGCGCAAGCCCCGGACGCCGCGGTCACTAGGCTGCGGGTTAAGGCCTTCGAGCGACTCCGGCCGTGGGACAGCGCCGAGCTTGATTTCCGGGTGGACGTGCAGTCGGTCAACCGCTGGCCCCCGCGCTGCCTCCCAGCGCTGCTGGTGTGAGTATTTGGGAGTCTTACCTTGGCTGTTGGGTGAGAGCCAGGGCTCGCAGCCCCGCCCCAGCTCCTGCCCTGCCGCCCGCCCTCTGCTCCCAGGACTCAGATCCCCGAGACCACGCCTGTGGGCACCCGGCTGAATACCTTCACTTGCACTGACCCGGACTCTCCTGGCTCCACCCTGGACTACCAACTGCTGTTCCACAGCCCTGCCAGCGCTTCCAGCCTCTGCCTGCGAGACAGAGTCCTGGAGGTACCCAGACCCCACCCTCAGACCCACGTGTAGGGTGCTTGGACAGGAAGGGGGTGGCCCAGTGGTCCCGTGGGAGCAGAGACCATGAGGGCGAAGGATATGGTGTTGCAGCCAACCTGCTTTACCGGAGGGTCAGGGTAGGCTATGTGAGAATAACCTGGCCTGAGGCAGCCCAGTGAGCTTGAGGCTCTCCTCGGCCTTGGCTGCGCCTCACTCTCCTGCCCCTCCGGCTAGGTGAATAACACACTGGACTGTGACGCTCCGGGCGCCTGCTTGCAGCACACAGCTTCCATCCTGGTGCTTGACAGTGGCCAGCCTCTGATGACCAGTGAGTGACCACGCCCAGGCCTGGACGCTCAGGACAGGGCTCTTCTGTGCCCCTCTTCCTGTCCTCAGGATGGGGGTCATCTCTTCTCCCTCAGAAACCAATAGGGCAGGCGTGTGGCCACTAAAGACCCCTGGGTGAGCTACTGCCCGCCACCCTCCAGAGCCTCCCCCTCCTCTGAGCCCCAGGGCAGGGCTGGGCCAAACCAGGCCAGCTCCCTGACTCCCAGATGGCTTCCAGCTGAGGTGCCTGTGCTGGTGATGGTGACACCTGTCAACGAGTTCTCCCCAACCTGTGTCTCACGCACATTCCGAGTTCGTGAGGACGCGAGGCCCCACACCCTGCTGGGCTCTGTGATGGGCACAGACATGGATTACCCACATGACAGAATTGAGTACTCCATCTCTGGCGGGTCCGCCCCCTTTGCTGTGGACCGTCTCAGCGGTACTCCCACCCCAGGGCTGGGTGGAGAGGGTGGAGCCAGGGTTGACTCTGCAAGCTGAGGCTGTGGCCCCCTCTTCTAGGGGAGGTTCGCCTCCTGGGGCCTTTGGACTATGAGCTGCAGAAGTCGTACAGGCTCACTGTCCTGCTGACTGACCACAGCCAAGACCAGGACCCCACCTGCCACCGTTCAGGCTCCTGCACCATCACCATTGAGGTTGAGGTAACTGAGCCCCGAAGCGTCAGAAAGAATTGGAAAGAGTTCATCTCCCCCTCAGGTGCTCTGCTTATCCTCTCTGCTTCCGTTTCCTCCACTGGTTGGCTGGAGAGGGTTGGGGCCTTGTTGTGGAAAGTTCTGGAAACTGTTGGCTGACACCGAGATTCTGGTTGTGATGGGGGGAGGCTGAGGGGCTGGACTGGGGGTTTGGGGGTGGTGATGTGACTACCTTCCGGCAGGATGTGAACGACCATGCCCCCGAGTGTGAGCCCCCATTTCAGGAGCTCACCATCTACGCTCACCTGGGCCGTAGCTTGGAGGTGACCACAATGTCGTGTCGGGTGCCCCAGGAGCCTCAGCGCCTGGCTTTCTCCTACAGAATTGTGGGGGGTGAGGGCTGTGGGGGCCCCCCCCAGGCTGCGGGGGAGGGGCAGGCCAAGGCCAGCCATGGTTCCCTTCTTCTCCCACTCTGTTTTTCAGGGAATAGTCAGAGCCGATTCAGCCTGCAAGGAGCTGTCCTGGTGCACAACGACCTCACGTTGGGGGTCCCCTGGCCAGAGCAGCCCCATACACATGAGCTGTTGATCCGAGTGGCCGATGCCGGCCCCTCCAGCCCCCACCTCAGCACCACGGCCACTGTCACTGTGCATCTAGTGCCCTGGAGGGCCAGCACAGGGGCCACCAGCACCCACAGAACCACAGTGAGGGGGTTCCTCAGGCCCTTGCTGGGTGGGGAGAAAGGATATAGTTTTTGAGGTGGAACAATTGGGGAAGGCATTTCAGAGGAAACGGCTGAGTACAAAGAGCCTGGCAATACAGAGGAGAAACCTGGGGTGTGGGGTGGCCCAGTCCTTGGAGGGGTTTGAAGGTTGGATGATTGGGGCGTTTTGGCAGGACAGTGGTGAAGATGTGGCCCCATTTCAGGTGCCTTCAAGGATGACACCCCTGCTTGTGACAGACACGGAGGTTTTCTGGCAGCCGGAGCCCTGGTTCGTGGTGGTGCTGACAGCGACCAGTGCCCTTCTCCTCCTGGGTTTGGGTTGGCTCCTCAGCTGGCTCCTGCGGGGGTAGGCTTCCTATTCCTATGCTGCTCACCTCCCCCCAGGCCTTGCATCTGTGACAGCTGGTTCTACCCAAGACTGCCCAAGCTGATGAGCAGACAGAATGATATTAACGAGGACTGCCCTCCCTCCGGGGGTCATCAACTTAGAGGCAGAGAGACACTGGGAGAAAGTTATCTCATTCACTGGCAGAACCCAGTCTGGAATGGGATGGGTGTAGATAAGGTCAAGGGCTTTAGACTCTTGAGTCTGTCATGCATTGGGTATTTACCCCTACTCCTGAGCCCTGCCTTCCACCTGAAACGTGACCTTCCCCTAAGACACTGAGTTTCTCGTGAGCACAGGACTGAACCCCGGGGAAGACGGGAGTAACAGTGTGGCCAGTGCATATGGACGCAGGCTATCTCCAATAAGAGTGGCAGATGAATGGTGCAGATTCCTGGAGCCAGCAGGTCTTCTGTTCTCACTGCTTGTTCTCTCCTCCTGGCATTTTAGGCTGACCCAGGTGCTCCAGGCATCAAGCGAACCCCCCCAGGCCCTACTTCTAAACAGGTAAGCTTCCTTTGCCTACCTCTATGCCTGGAAGTCCATCTCTGAAACTCAGGCCGGGGCTCAGAGCCCTATCCTACTTCTGCTTTGCCCCAGTATCCAGGGAACTAAGGGATCTATTGAAGGGTTCGTGGAGGCCCCGAGGATGGAGACACCTCAGGCACCCAGCAGTGTCATAAGCCTGGTATGTCAACCTACCATCCTGTGCGGTGGGCACTGAGGCTGCTGCTGAGTGCTCCCTGCCAAGCCTGCCCCCTTTCCCATGGCTGGCTGTCCCTGTGGGAGGGCCCATACCAGCACCACCAGGATGCAGGAAGCAGGTGGGTTCTTGACCCTTTTGGGGGGGCAAGCCTCCACCTGCTCCCCATGGGTGGGGTTCACCTCGTTATACCCTCCTCATTCTTCCCTTCAGCAGCATTTTGATGGCAGAGCCCAGGACTCCCGTGAGTTCCCCTTTTTTCAAACCATTCTCCACTTGGACCCACTTTCTCTCCAGACCTCATCTCAATATCTCTGCCTACCACCAGACATCCACTATCTACTTTTCCCCTGAATGAGGTCTCTTCTCACTCCTACTCATCTTTCAGCCAGTGTTTGCCAGACACTGGGACCCTGATCTGGTTCCTGCCTCTGGGGGTTAATGGGGGGAAAGTTGTGAGGGAAGAGGCCCCCAAATGGTCCACTGTCACCATGAATTATGGTAGAGTAATCTGGCACGGGGCTCAGGGGAGCTGATGGCAAGTTTCAGGGGCTCATGGATGCTTCCTGCGTATCTGAGGCAGACCTCAAATGATCTGCTGAGAAAGGAGGGAGAGGACAAGCCGGATCAAGCAGGAGGGAGTGGGGGGGGCGGTCAGTCACACCAAGGATCCTGGAATATCTTTCCTTGCCCTTAGGGGAGGGAGGCAGTGTTGCCGAAGCCAGCAGGGCCCTCTCTCTCTCCCCTGACAATCTGAACTCAGGTACAGGCAGAGATTACCTGTTCAACACGCACACAGGAGCCCGGCGCTGGCTCTGAGGCCCAGGAGCTGCATATTTGCAGAATTTCTTCTTCACATGATCATGTCTTTTCAAGCTGATACAATAATAAACAAAATTACCAACAGAAGAGTCCTTGCCTGGTAACCTACGTGTGGAAGAAGCTCTGAGATCTGTGCTTCCTTGTTCTCACTTGGAGGATGCCCTATCTTACGGGAACAAGTTTATTTTTTCTTTCAAGAAGGCATTGCTTTGGTTCTTCAAAAAGGAATGATAGAAATAAAGTTATTTGCTTTAAAAAAAAAAAAAAAAGAAGGCATTGTACAGTGCTGACTGTGATTAATGTTTTGCAGAGCTAAGACACTGTTATCCTCGTCAGTGACTGAGGGGGCCTCCAGTTGGCCTGTCCCCTCAGAGGACACCTACTCTAGCAGATGGGGAGGGCCCAGGAGCCCCACCAACTTCCAGGGCAGTGTGTTGACTGTATGTGGAGGTTTTCTTGCATCTGGAGCTTTTGCATTGAAGTGAGGGTTGAGTACCCTGTGGCATGGGTAGCCATGGAAGGATTGAGAATAGTCCCCTTTTGAGCAGGTGTTCCCATATCCTCCTGATCTCGTTGGTTCATGCGCCCTCTGTCCCCTGTGCTGCACATTGCCAAGTGGCCCACAGCAGTGTGCAGGAGGGCAGGTTCTGTGGGGGAAAGTGCTAGCCCACTCCCATACCCAGCCTGGCATCAAGTCTCAGAATGCTGCCAGCTCTCCCAGAAGACCTGCTGTCTTGGTGGAGGCTATCTTAACTGTGGTGTCTCCAAGTTCTCTCAATCTTCTTCCCTCTGTCAAGTTTATGGATCTGAACCTTCTCAGAGTAGCTTCCCTTGTGGCTCAGCTGGTAAAGAATCTGCCTGCAATGCTGGAGACCTGGGTTCAATCCCCAGGTTGGGAAGATCCCCTGGAGAAGGGAAAGGCTACCCACTCCAGTATTCTGGCCTGGAGAATTCCATGGACTGTATAGTCCATGGGGTTGCAAAGAGTCAGACAGGACTGAAACACTTTCACTTTCAGAGTAGCTGAGGACCTCCCTTCCTGAGCCAGTTACAGTGCCCCAGGCAGAGGAAGTCGAGTGCCTTCTGTGGGAAAAATATGCTTTATGGTGCTTCCACTGAAGTGAGGGTGTTAGAGCTGGCCTCACAGCAGGATGTTACAGGAAGCAGCTGCAGGCAGACTTTTCCTGAGCACTTAGAATGCTCTAAGGGCTCATTAAATGCTCATCTCTAAGGAGCTTGATTTTTATCCTCATTCCACAGATAGAACAAGCAAGCCTCAAAAGTCACAAAGCTCGCTAGTCCGGTCACTTGGTGTGAGTCAGGCTATGTGATTACATTTGATGCCAAGCCCAAGGTAACAGTCTCCCCAAGGCTGGTAAGTTGCGCTCAGTGGCAGACCATAACAGTCCAGGGCAAAAGATGTTGTTATAAGAGCCGGAGACAAGATGCCCTAGGGCAGGAATAAGAGTGTGCCAGGGCTTGTGCTGAGGACTGAACTCGAGGCAGGACAAACGTGGGTAACAGGCCAGAGACTGCTGGGGCACAAAGGCTGATGAAGGGCAAAGCTAGGGAATCCACTGGAAAGAGGGCATTATACACAGGAGCCCGTAAGAGGAGGCGCGAAACTCGGCGCTTAAATTTCCAGAGGTGGCGTAACCTTGGCCCAGACTGCCACACTGAGTCTGTTTCCTCAGTAGTGAGGGACAAGTCCTGCCTTCCAGGGTGAGTGACCAAAAAAAGCATACAGCAGACATTCCCTAAGTGTGCATGCGTGCATGAGAAGACGCTGTCGGCTCCCCTCAGGAGCCGAGAACTCACGGATGACAAGGGCGCTACGGCCTCCGGAATGGCTAGCCAAAGCACTGCCTCCAGCAACTCCGGGAACGGCGCGCGTGCGCCAATCCGTGCCGTCACAGTCACGTGCTGAAGCGTTCGGCCTGGGCCGCTAGAGGTAGGCTCTGACTGACAGGCCGGCCAACCTGTCATCGAGAGGCACTACACTGGGCGTCGGACAAAGAGGTTGTTGATTGGGAGTATTCTAAGCTGGGGGCGGGTTCTTTGCCGTCCTGGTTACTATGACGCCCGGCCCCCGCCCCCTCGGCTGGCCGCCATCTTGTTGTTGATCCGTACCTAGTGGGCAGCGCCGGGAGCTGGACCGAGCGGCCGGTGCGGGGCCGCTCCTGCGGATCTCAGCCACCTGCGCTGCCTGCCAGGGGGCGGGCCGAAACCTGGAGGCCCGGGGGGCCCAGCTCCCGTGGGGAGCCGTGGGCACCCGCTGCCCGGGCCGGGCCGGTGAGTGACAGGAGCCGGGCCGAAAGACCGGCCTGACGCCGCGGGGCGGGCGGCGGCGGGCGCGGGGTTGGAGTTGGCGCGCGCAGGGCAGGGGCATCGGCTGAGCATCGCTCGAGCGTCCTGATCGGCCGCCCGTGAAGTCTCCTCGATGCTGGTGCCGAGGTCGCAGGACGGCCTCGGGGTAGAGCTCCGAAAGCCCCGCGCCTGAGGGCTGGCCGGCGGGGTAGCGGGAAACTAGTTTCTGTGACTGAAGCCCTGGGCTCCGCTGACCCGCAGCGCTGAAACGTGTCCAGTGCCAGCTTGATGCTCTCCGGGGTCTTATGTTGTTCCCAGGTGAGAAATGCACGTACTGTTTTCTTAGATGTCGCTCCTGCGAGTGACTTTCAGACCGATTGAGACTAAGACTAGGTCAGCCAGTCGAAAGCCCCCGCAAAGCAGGCCGGCCAGTGTGACCGCCCTTGTGATTCAGACCAGGCGAAGGCCCCTCTGCCCGACGCCTGCCTCCTGAACTCCTCGGAGCTCACCGTTTGCGTCTTCCTGAAGGGCCCGATCAAATGTTCCTGATGCCCGAATTTTGGTTCGGGATATATATATATATATATATGTTTATTTTGTTGTTTTGAATCACTTTTTGGAGTTGTGGTAAGGGCTTCCTCTTTTGCCTCTGGGAGAAAGTGAGTATTGGTGGTAACTTGATTGGTTTTATCGCCTAAAAAGATAATCTGCCAAGTGTAGTCAAGGAGACAAAAGAAATGTAAGAGGGTGTTAGAATCAGAAAAAGAAATGAAACTTCTTTTTGTCTCGTGAATGCCAAATTAACTTTTAACAGAGTAAATGTATCTTGCCCAATGAAACAGACTTCCAGGCTCCCTTCTTTTGTGAGGGTAGGAGGGTTAGAGACCCCGCGTAAGGTGTGCAGGTCTAGGAAACGTGCTGAGGGCTCCAGAAAACATTTCTGCTTGCTTGTGATCCCTTGGCTTCTCAGCACAGGCTTCTGTGGTCATACAGAAAGCCTGCCTGAGACGACTAAGAAGCTGAACAACAATACTTTGTGTGCTTGTGTCAGGATCTTATCACCTCAGAATGTTTAATTTTGCAAGAAACTATCCCTTGGGTCAGGAGATGCTTTTGGAGAAGATGCTGAAACCAGAGGCAGCTGGTGGCCTGTTGCTGTTTGCCTTGTGAGGAGAGAGAGAAGTTGAGTGAGTAGTCTTTAGGTATTTCTTTACCCTCCCTTGGGCCATTTTTTTGAATCTTGAATGAATTTTCATTTTGGTGAGACCAGTTCCTTGGACAGTTCTTTACAAGAAAGGAAGACACAAAAATATTGGGAGCTTCTCAAAATGGCCTCAAGCTAACTTCCCCCCAACTCCCCTCTGATTAACACTTTTTTTAGAAAGTTAAGGCTTCCACAGGGTTAAATGCTTGCTGTTTTCTGTGAAAAATAACCATAGGTTAGTCTCTTAGTCTGTTTCGGGTATCTTTGAGATGTAGAAAAAGAACAGATCTTTTCCTTAGTCTTCTTAACTATAACTTTTGCATGCAATTTTAGGTTCAGGGGTCCATTATAGTCCATTCTGGTCTAACTCTGTGTTAGAACTGTTGCCTCAAGGAAGTTACAGAATAGCCAAGAACTTTTATTGTCTTTTTTTAAATGCTTTTACTGCCTTGTGAATACCTAGGAGTATTAGATGGTGCTTGCTTGATCAAGCCTATTTTGTTACTCAGAGATAGCTAATAGCAGTACTTCTGTGCTGGGCATTTTTAAGTGCAAATAAGTAGGATATTAGGATAGCGGACCTTCCATCTACTTTAACTTTGTATGTACATAATTCATCTGTAAATGTCAGCATTTTTAACTATTATGAGCAACAGACTTAATGAGTCAAAACTGCTGCAGGCATACAGGATGAGATCTGATGTCCTAATGTGGCATTTACAGTGCTGCTGCCCAGCTGGTCCCAACCCACCTCTCCCAGGTTTGTCCTAATCCTCACTTTGCCAGCGGTTTGGTAATCATTCCATTTGTGATATTTTCTCACACAGATCCTGTTGCCAGCTAATCCATTTCCTTTTGCCCCTCTTGGGGATAACCCTTTGCCTTCAGTTTCACTTCTCTCTTCTCAAGTCCAGCCCAGGTCCTTCCTACCTCTTTTATGAAACACTCCCCCAAACATTCCTGTCCTTAGGAATATTCTACTCCCTCTGAACTGCAGTGGCATTATTGCCTTTATCAAAAACAATGACACAGTATATACTCTTTTAAGAATAGCTTTTTTTCTGATTAGACCTAACCCCTTTGCTGCAGAGATTGTAGTTTTGTGTCTTCTTGTACCTGCATGTAGTAGATGAGAACTAAATGTTCATGAAAGTGTGCTAAATGTGCCTGAGTTGGAGCACCCTCTAATTAAACAGGGAATTGGAGAGAATAGGCAGGTAGAAATGAGACTTTCACCATGGATCTCCACGTCTCCACTGCCCGGAGGGCTTGCACTCTAGCACCGCAGGGAGGCCCATCATTCTGTAAGAGGCAGGACTTGCACATAGTATGGAACTGAAGCCCAACACTAGAAAGTAATTCTGCATCTCAGAAATGGCTGTGTGGCTCATCCCTCTTCCTGGCTACTTCTGACTCTCGGAAAACATGTATTGGGTGAGCACAGCATTGAGATGCTTAGACTCTCTTCTTGGTTGGGCCTTCTCACTGCCACCTTGGGCTGCTGTGAACGTG